ATAACCCGAAACACACATATCTCATAACAGAATTTTAATTTTACATAAGCAAGTGAAAAATCCATACTTCAGTGAAAATTTCATGTGGCATTTGTTGGTTTAGTACTTACTGTAGAGCAAATCCCTCCGCGAAGAGCCTTTGTCTTCTTAAGTCTTCTTGTTTGTCAAGTGTGTTGACTCTGCATTGTTTGTTCATGTATTATAAATAAAGCAGTTTAAGCTTGACATCCCTCACAAGAGCACTGTGCTGGAACAATGATTCATTACGGTTTTAAAGCTAATGCCTGCCATAATACTGATATGTGCAGTGGTAGTTTATGAATATGTATAATAATGTATACATCATTTGTAGGTGAGGAAAACATGTGCAACAGTTGTGTCAGTTTTAGATATGTAACACACATTATTAGGTCCTTCTAAATCATGGATCTCAAACTGGATTCTTGGAGTGCCGCAGCTCTGCACAGTTTAGCTTCAGCCCTAATCAAACACAGCTGATCCAAATAATCAAGGTGTTCAACAGTACTAAAGACTATTAAGCAGGTGTGAGTTGGAGGTGGTTGGTGATAAATTCTGCAGAGCTGTGGCCCTCCAGGAGTTCAAGACCACTGTTCTAGATCATTCTAAAATGCAAATGACATATCTGAAATATATAGCCTATATACAGTGTTGGGGGTAACACATTACAAGTAATGTGAGTCACATAAGAATATATTTTTTCTTCTTCTAAGTAACAAGTAACACATTTAAAAAAATAATAATAATATTTAAGTTACTGTTGCAGCTGGAAGGACATCCACTGCTTAAGACATTTGCTGGATAAATTGGTGGTTCATTCCGCTGTGGCGACCCCAAATTAATAAAGGCACTAAGCCGAAAATAAAATGAATGAATTTAAGTTACTTGTTTTTGTTTAATTAATGAGCTTTTAAAAAGTAAACTGCAGAATTAAAATGAAAGTACTCGCAATAAATGACCCAGTCAATGAGAGAATGTCTTCATTATTTTGAACGCATGAAAGAAAAGTAAAAGGGGATTGTCTCAATGGACAGTGATTTAACTGTAGACAAACAGTATAAAAGTAGCAAACACATTGCTTTAAAATTTCAATAAAAAAAAGCATAATAAAAAGTAACACAAAAGTAACGTAATGTATTACTTACCTTAAAAAGTAACTAAGTAACGCAACTAGTTACTTTTTTGGGGAGTAACTCAATACTGTATTGCATTATTTTCCCCAAAACTGCCTATATAACATTGTTTGAACATACTGGATGACCTTGTATTTATGCGAGTGCAGGGACACCACTTGAGGTCAACAAAAAGTTTACTTTAAACGTAATGATTTTTTTCTGTTTTGTTTTTGCTTAATTCCCAGGTAAAAAGTGCCAGCAAGAAGTAGGCAAGTGGTGATATCTAGGGACTTTGAAGGTAACATGCAAAAATAAATAATTAAATGAATAAATAAAATTACATAGAAATTGGAAACCACATCAATCCATTAACTGTTTATCCATTAAAACACCAGTACATTTAAATAGGTTCTAGTGTGTTTTGTGACATATTCCATTAGATTTAGTGTTTTTTAAAATGACAACAATTACCAGCAGAGATCCACAGGGACCATTACAGATGCCATTAAAATCAATCATATTAAATCAGTCTTATTATAACCATCAGAACTAAAATAGTTTGTTAACTTGAACCCCCTCCCCCCCCTCCCCCACCAAAATAGTGAAGTTTGCTGTGCATAAATAATTATTGAACGTCACTTTAAAATATAACCCATTTTGTTTTTGTTAATTTCTTTCTTTTATTTCTACCTCGGCTTTGAATTAAGGTTTGTTGGATTCTTTCTCAAACACCTTCAAAATGGTCTACTTTCCCAACCCAATGCTTTGATTATTTAGGGAGACTGGAAATATGGCATATCAAGCCTAATTTGTGGCATCGACATGTTTTTCAGCTGACAGTACTATAGAGAGTTTCTTTTAACTAAAATTTATGAGGTGTAATTTTTTCACAAACACCTTTTTAAATTATCAGCCATTTCCTCCGCTGCTTTTAATATTCGTTTATCCTGGCACATTATAAAATGATAGGCTATTTTATACATGTCATTGATACCTATGTTTGTTTTTCACCGTGACAGTAGTTTGGCCATTCATTTGGTCTAACGTTAGTGTTGAATAAATGAACGCAGTTATGATAAAACACACACACTTGTTCCACATTAGATGTCTTTGTTATTGTTTGTTGTTGTTGTAGTTTGTTGTTGTTGTTTTTGTTACTAAACATTTTAAATAGAGTAAAATGCAGTGGCGTTATATTTAAAATAAAATGCTTCCTTTAGGAACTTACCTGCAGCTTACCTGCAACTTACCTTAACTTACCTGCAGCCAGATGCTTGTGGTCGGTCGGATCCAGTTTTGTTGTTTTTCTCTTTCTTCATAAAAACAGTCTTCCTTTAGCTCAGAGCCAGAAGAAACTCTTTTATACACGTCTGATGTGATGCCTCTGTGTTCCAGCAGCAGTCGTCTTTGATAAAAGTTTTCTTATATCGTCCTAAGTTCAGGTTTCACACGTTGTGACATGGACTCTTCGTTTTTTCCCCGCTCAAAGTGTGTCTGAAGTAAGGCATTTTGACAGCGTCTCGAAACGCAACAACTTGGACGTTTTAAGGGTAAATATTGTGACTCACACGTTTACCTCTTTGTTGTTTGGTAAGGTAAAAAGAAGCTGTGTTTCTGTGGTAAAACATTCGTGAAACAGAAACCTTTACTTCACCTCAAGAGCAAAGAACGTTTCCCCTTTTGGCGGTATCTGAGATTTAAAGGGACAGTGCACCCAAAAATGCTAATTCCATCATCAGCATTTACCTCGCAAAAACAACTGTATTCGTGAAATATAGCTCTAAAAGTCCTACGGACTACTTTAATATAGGCTCTATTTGTTGACTAGTTAGGTGCCTGACAGTCAACGTGATTTAACCCTGAATAAAGTGCATGATCAGCTATGTTGTCATTGTTATAGTAGTTTGCTGTTATTCTAGCCATGACTTAAAGGGATAGTTCACCGACAATTGAACATTTTGTCATCATTTACTCGCCCTTTACTTGTTCCAAACCTCTCTGACTTTCTTTCTTCTGTTGAACAAACAAATAAGATATTTTGAGGAAAGCTGAAAACCTGTAACCATTGACTTCAGTGGTATTTGTTTTATATGGAAGTCAATGGTTACATGTGTTCAGCCTTTTTCAAAATACCTGCTTTTGTGTTCAATGTAATGAAGAAACTTATAAGGGTTTGGAACCACTTAAGGGTTTGTAAATAGTGAGTACAGTTTAGTTTGGGGTAAATTTTCCCTTTAACATGGACAAATACTTGTTATTGCACGTCATAGCACTTTAGGACATTGTGATAGAATCAGGACTTTCAAGAAAACATTCCATTTGGTTTAAAAAAAAATTTTCTACATCCAAACCAAACATGCACTTTTAGAAGGCAAAGTTTAAGTCCAATTTGGCTAGTGTGTTTATAATACAGTACAGTACATTAATAATGTTTAAGATTACTACTTTTGGAAGTGGTTAAAAGTGGAAAAGCTCAGCCCATGTACACCAGTTACCTTAGCCTACATCAGGGGGTCCTGGAGGGCCGCTGTCCTGGAGTTTAGCTCCAACCCTAATCAAGCACACCTGAACCAACTAATCAAGCTCTAAGTAGAACTTCCTGGCAGGTGTGTTGAAGCAAGGTGGAGCTAAACTCAGCAGGACACCGGCCCTCCAGGACACCCCTGGCCTACACCAATGTCTGTTGGTATTAGCTGTTTCCATCCAAATATGTGAATTGGACTTATGCGCAAAAACATTGAATAAAACATTTGCGAACAAAGCTCTGATTCCATCTAATGAGTCAAAAGAAAAAAGTGGAATTTGCTGTGGTATGAGAATCCACTATGGGCCTTGTATTTTACATAATAAATTGCATGCGCCTCAAAAGACAAAGTCAAAATGCAATGGACGTGAAGTGGCTTTTAGAAGCGCAAGACCACTCTTTTGGAGTCCAGACAGTAAAAATACCAAACCACTTTGACGATGGACTTTGGCTGAACGAATTTATGACCAAATCAACATTTCAGATGTCTTCAGATTTATTTCTTATTGGATAAAAAGTTTATCCTGCTCATTTGTGAACATTTTAACTTTCATTTGCATCTTGGGATTTCCATTCAACATTTTTAATGTGAAATTTCAAAATGCGCATCGGATCAAAACATAGTGCAAACAGGGCTTGAAAAAAAGCTAAGCATTTACATTTTGTGGCAGCACGAGGGTGAGTAAATGATGACAGAATATTTATTGTTGGGTGCACTGTACCTTTCTTTAATGACTACGCAATCCTGGCTAAAACCCTGCACTGACTGGTGTTTTCAAAGCACTCTAAGACTTAATTATCACTTGAATGGCTTGATAATTGATTTGGGACTCTCTGGTATCTCTGTAGGGATGCAGTGGACACATGGACAGCACATAGTGGATTGGGACACAGACAGAAGGACAGACGGGGGCCTCGCCCAGAGCAGCGGTACAGTACAGAACAGTGTGACTTGACAGTCAGCACCATCATTTTTACACTACAAACATGTAATACTTGACCCCAACATTGATCAATTACTTGTTTTTGTTGTAAAAATTTAAGTTTAAACATTACAAACCACAAGGCTGGGGTGTTTTATAAATATAACACATATATATGGCTGTCCATCTACTGTTACAGCAAGTTGGGCTGCACAGAAATATACATATATAAATCTGTATGTATATTTTCCATGTTTGGTGACGAGACTGAAATTAATCGCAATGTAAATCAATGAAAAACAAACGGAACAGAAATAAAGGGATAAAGAAGAGAGACGTGAAACACCGGAGGGTTGCGTGAACATTTGTACAACATCGGACAGGTACTGGAACACCACGCCACAGAGAAAGAGACGAGTATTAGGAAAAATGGTTTAATATCGGAGACAGAGGCAAAAAACTGCATCACACAAGAACATACATTTACAAAAATAAGTCTGACTGTTCCAGCTACACAGTTAGGTTAACAGCAAAGACAGAGAAACCAGAAAAATCTAAACAGCTAAAAGCAAAGTCCTCAAATTACTTTTATCTTGTTTGTCAAACTAATACATTTATCCACTGAAGGTGACTAAATACTTCTAAGTCGTCTAATCGTCTTTATCATGGTGACTGCACAATACTTAACTAAATGAAACTTACCGCTGTTGTAAAGACTCTTTGTAAAGACAAAACCGTATTACGTATTTATAAGCCAAAAGGAAACTCCTCGACCCTCTTTCCGAAAAACGAACAAACGAACAGAAGAAAGCAAGGAAAGCAAATATTGATGTGAAGAAGAACAAAGAAGAGGAGGCTAAAGATACCAAGCCAAAGTTCTCCTAAAAAATCTTTATATCAAAACCTAACGTTCTGGACGCCAACTAGAAATCAAACTCGGGAACCAGTCGCTGACGGCCCCTGGCTGGGGCCGCGCAGCCTGTCAGAAATAGTTTTTTTTTTTTGTTTTTTTTTTCCTTTAATTGCCAGTATAAAAAGTTCCACTGGTACAAAAGGCATAAGTACAATCAGTGATAGAAATAGGAAAGCCTGCTTTTTTTGTACTTTTTAAATTCCCATCCAATGACAGATTTCCAAAGTGTTGTCAAACAAACATGTATCACGCTTACATAATCCACTGAAATGCATTGACTTTGGCTTTTCTCAAGACAATACTTAAAACTATTTAAATCTTTTTAGAATCAAACAAAATGATATTAATCTACAGACGACAAGCTTTTGTTACGGCACGTTAGATAAAACACATACATTTCCAAAAAACTTGACATAAGCCAAAATGCAAAGAAACTACACATCTTTTTTTTGTCCTTTAAAATACACTTGTTAAATAGCACTTAAGAGAAAGAAAGAAAGTAAGAAAGAAACAAAAGAAACAACAAACAGATTTCAGATGCGTGTGGTGCGGAAAACCCCTGAGTGAAGAGTCTCAGCGAGAGCTCCTGCGACTTTGTGCTTTGCTAAACATCCAACGAATATATGTGTATGTCAAATTGTGAAAGCTTTACCCTGTTTGTCTTAAGTTGATTGTGATTAAATGTGCTGAGCGAAGCAGAATGTCAATATCTGAGAAGCCCCGAGCTGAGGTATAAGCCGAACCGCAGTGATATTGAGGATATGAGGTCAATCGAAGATGTTTTTGACATTTTTTTTTTTTTTTTTTTGCTTGATTATAATTCCTCACTTTCTTTTGAACATTTTAGGATGGAAATACTACCTTACTGGGTAAGCGAAAAGATTCTTCAGTATTAATACTGTCCGGTGCTAGTGTGCTTTTATGTTTGTGCTAGTGGTCTTACAATTTGGCAAAAAAGAACAGCATATCTTAAACCGACTGACTTTAACTTCCCAATGCGAAATGCACTCATTAAGGGGAAATTTATTTTCATTATTTGGGACTCATTCGTGAAACTCAATCAGAACAAATGTTTATATAAACCTTTCTTTAAACCATTCATACATACAATGTAAAAAAACGTAACAGTTTAGTTTCACGACATAATACAAATAAAATATGTTGTTTATGTGCAATTTACTGAAGGTCTTTCTGCATATGTGTCATGATTTCATTAGAATTGTCATAGCTTGAAATTCAGAAAATTTACAAACACATAATACATCAACTTTTCTAATTGAGCGGGAAAAAAATACTTCAAATTGTTGTATATATTTTACGCAACACTCAAAAAATCAGTTTTTTGGTTCAAACTACTTACCACAATTCTTAAGTTTTTTGGGGGGACAACTTAATTGTTTTATATTCAATCCACTTAAATTTGTAAAAATTAAGTTGATTACATTACCTTAATCGATTTGTGTTGGGACAAAATTAAGGAACTGGGTAGAACCCAGCATTTCTTACAGTGAAGATTTATAAAATTGTGGTTTTATCAATGATTTATATAGAAATGTGTTCTGCGTTTACCATTGGAAAAAAAAATCCAGAATCTTTTTGCGTATTTAGAATTATTCACACAAGACAAATTTGACGTAAAAATGTCCTGCTTGCTTTTTTCCAGACAGTTTACTCAAATTCATGTGCATGGCAATTTACATACGAATGGACACAGGTTGTAATTCACGCGATGATAAACAAAATATAAATGAATTGTTCTGTTTGTGTTAAAAAAATGTACGTACGAACATAAAACAAATTTGCGCAAGGCTGGTTTTACAAACGATTTATACAGAAATACATTCTGTTTAAGGCCAATAATTTGAGGAGGAACACATTTATGAACATTTTATGTGCTCAAATTTTACTTTAACACAACGGTATGGTTTTCAAAAACAAATTCACATGTTTGGAAATTTCAGAAAGAAGGATGTTATAAATATTCTGATTGTGCTTAAAAATTTACATAGAACAACTGTATACAATTTATACAAGTCCGGTTTACATAGAACTTTTTTTTACAAACAATTTAAGGAAGAACATTTTTCTGCACAATATCTAGTAATAAATTCTGTCATCTAAGAATGATTTTACAGGAAATAATTGATTCATACGAAAATGTACTTTTTACTTGGCGAACAATATATGCAAATTTGTTCTAGTTTCACGAAGGAGTCCCTTACGTTTTTAACCGGCACACAGTTTGGCAGATTTAGATTTGGCTTAGGTTTTGAAACAAAAAGGACGACAAACAACCAATCACAACGAAGACACACACCTGTATTCACACACATGCAGACACCCTTGGCACACATTTGAAATGTGCAGCAATGAATTCCAGCCCATTAATACTGATCAAAGTGTTAAGGCAACGGCAGAGCTTGGGTATAAAATAGTGCTATAGAGTGAAGTAAACTGGTCTGACGGGGGCTGCCTGTAAACTACGTTTGTAAACAATATTATTTTTGTTTTATGGGCCGTTTGAACGATGTGTAAACGTTTACAGCAAAGTGCTACAGGCGCTATTGCAAACCGTGGATCACACTGAACTACTTTGGCTTCAGGACGAGATTTGGTTGTCCTACGAACGTAAAATTGTCCTGATAAAGGCAGCAAAAAAAGCAAGACTACACGGAGACGTTTTTAACTGAACTGTAATGATTATTTGTGTAACGACGAGGCTGTCACGATGGTCAAAAATTACAATTCACAGAAATACGTCAATATTTTCTCCCATCACATGGTAATTTCTGTCAATTTTGGGCCCCCTGTGGTGTAATTGGATCTACGTGTATATGTGTGTGTGTGTTCATAAGGAGAACTGCTGAGACTCAATCTCAGGGGCTCACATACACACACCGTCAAAGAAAAGAGGGTTGTGAGGTCAACCTTTAGCACAGGTGTGTGTATGCGTGCATATGTGTGCTTACCTGTGAATGTATGTGTGTGTGTGTGTGCGTGTGTGCTTGTGAGAGCGATTATGACACATGGGCACTTTTTACATCTTTACAAATAAAGAAAAGAAAGAAAGAAAAAGCAAAAAACATGAACATTTTCAGGCAACAAGACCACAGAAGAGCAAGTTAACAACCTTTTTTTTAAAATCTATATCTTTAAATATGAGGGTTCCATACAAAACACTTACGTAATAAAATACCCATGTTATCAAATAATTTCACAAGTAAAACACTGAAGCTGTAGGCAGGATGTACCGTCAGAATTTGGCACTAAATTCCACTCATCTTGTTTTTTTTCTTTATAAGAAAAAAAAATCACATTTTGCTGAACAACATAACACATCTAAATATTGTTTCCCACAATAGAAATAAAATAATAGAATGACATAGATGCTTCACAAGCCGACACTGTAACTTTTAAGGATTTTTATATAGCTAATTACCCAACAAGAAATTTAGCAAAGAGGGACTCCTATTTAAAAGAACAAACAAACAAATAAACAAACAAACAAAAACTAAACAAAAAACGAGAATAAAAGTAAACAAACCCAAAAAAACAAACAAAATTAGTAGTAATTGTACTTATGAAAGGCTTTGTCTATTGTTCAAGTAAATTGATTTTTAGTCTTCTCTTTAAAAACATGAGACAAATAAGACTGTTAGACTTGATGAAACCACGACTTTATCCACGAAAAGCACCGACGGGACCGCGGGTTACACAAACTCTGTTTTTTTTTTCCTCTATACATTTAAACAGTATAAAATATAGGTCATTTCATGTGCATTTAAACCACGGATTGTCTAACTGTAAGTCAGTTCAGCAAAAGGTGTGACACGTAGGTAGCATTTCCCCCCAAACAGGGCAATCTTGTGTGTGTGTGTATGTGTGTGTGTGTTTTTTAATACCTTTACTACTCTAGAAAAAAGTGGTTTTATATAGACTTTAATGAGAAATCAAGCCACTTAAAATGGCCTTATCAAAAAACTTTACACTGCCTGAAAAATGTAAAAACCACGAGCAAGCTCTGAGAGATTCTAATATCGATCAGACAGCTTTTTTTTTTCTTTTTTTATTAAAACTGCGTGGAAGTAGTCTATTCGTTTAGAAACCGACGCCGGTTTCTTACGGCAGGCCTCAAATTAAGAGTGTTTGCCAACAGTAAGTCCCGACGCCAATCCCTGTATTGAACGTTCAAGTTTACGTTAAATGAATGAAACAAAAAACAACATAAAGAGAGAGAGAAACAAAACAATCGGACAAATAAAAACAAACGGAAAAATAATGAACGAAAATACTCGTAAATGTTTTGCCACAGGAATTTTTTTTCTTCTTTTTTTTCTATTTTCTTAAAATGATGCTCTGGTTATGTTAGTAAATATACTCTGTCTCTAGAGTGTGAATGCAGCGTTTTCACATTATTATTATTGTATTTTTTTTTTCTTTAGTCTTTCCTCCCTTCCTTCCTTCCCTCCCTCCCTCACCAGTTAAAACAAAGCAAAACCAAAGAAAAACAGGAATAAAACAAAGCTCAAAATGAGGTCACATGCGATTTTTTTTTCTCCAAAAAAGATCAGGCTAAGATCAAAGTACAAAGATCAGTTAAAAGGAGACCAGATTATGAGCAGGAGAACTCAGAAAGACATCAGAAACAATGACGGGACGATGAGACGTTTTTTTTTTGTACGCCACGTAGACATGCTAGGCAAACGATGAGCATAGAGTCATGGAGATGAGTTCTAGGGAAGAAAACGGGAGAGGAGAGTTACACACACAGCTCCGGCACACAACTAACATCATTAAACCATGAGAACAACAAACAAACAAACATACAAACATACAAAACAAACAAACAACAGCAGCAGCGCTATTAACCAGCGTTTCACCAACATCACATTAGCATTTGATTTTTTTTTTTCGAATAATACACAGAATTCTAATAGATTGGCAACACGTAAATGAGGCACTCGCTCACACATTTACAAGAACAAACACACATTCCATCTCCTCAGTACAGACACACACCCAAAAGTATCCATCCCGGTCTGAACCCCAATCCGAGGCCGCAGATGGATCGCCGTTTGGGAGAAACTGTTCAGTTTTTTTTTTTTTTTTGGAGTGAACGAACAAAAACCAAACAATACGCAATGAAACGTAAAAAAGAGAGAGATTTACACTACGTATGACGAAAGAGAGAGAGAGAGAAGAGGAAGAGACAGGTATGATGGGGACGTGACGGATGGGATTGTGGGAAATGGCAAGAGGGAAGGCGAGAGAGAGAGAAAGAAAGAAAGAAAACGAGGGGGTTTTGTACGTGTCACACAGCGGATGGTGTGGTTTAAGAAGACTACCGGACGAGGCTCAGGATAGAGCACGACTTTCCAAACCCAATAACTTAAAAGATAATAAATAAAGTCCTTTACTTCAGAGGCAGTAGAAATTTTGTATAAAAATAGAACTGCATTTTTTTACAAATAAAATTTACAGGCCTGTGGCTTTCTGTAATTTAAGTTTTTTTTTTCTTTCGATAAATATCAAGTTTTCAGTCCCCCATCCCTCCACATAGAACCTAGAATGCTTTATTCTTTTTAAACCATCGACAGATCAAAATGTTTGTTTTTTTAATGCTCTACACAAATTCTGTTGGACAAAGACCACAATTATCTGACGCATAAATTCGGACTATTTTTTTTTTGTTCTTCAAAAACAAATAAACAAACAAACAAACACAAACGAAAATAAACATACTGACAGAAAATGAATTTTAAAAAAAATCTAAAAAACAAATTAATAAAATCACTGAACATTTGACGGCAAGTATTTGTTGAGGAAGCTGTTTAGGCAGTTGTTGCCGTTGACTACAGAGAGGCCACAGCGGGTTTAACCCTTTCCTCTCTAGTGCCAGTGGGCCAAGGGTTCGAAGGAGCAGCAAAGCCCTGAACCGACACCAGAGGCCAAAGGGCAAAGGTTAATGTGCATATTGGTGCTTTAATCATATCGGAACCTTCTCTACTTGTCCTTACAAGCCTCAGGTTCACAAAGAGAAACAAATAATACTTTATACATCGTTACTTTCTGCTGTTGTTTTCATCATAGAATGAAATAGCCATTGTATAAATATTTACTTTAAAAAAAAATGTTTACACATGACTTAAACGGAATCAAAAAATTGACCAATAATAGCTGTTCATTCATCGCAAGTCATACAAATAAAATAATAATAAATGGCGGAAAATGGAAGCGTTCATGTGGAGGAGAAAAAAAAAAGAGACCAAATAATAATAATAATACTGTTATTAATTGAAAAAGCTGAAAAGACGGTTTAGGGAGAGTGGCTCCCTCTGGTGGTCAAAGGGTGAAACTCCCCCCTCGTGCACCCCCTCCCCTTGGAGTCCCAGTTTGGTGACCGTGGCAGCAGTGGGGACTTACCCTAGCAGTGTAACATGAGAGAGGCCCTAGTGCTAAGATCAGTACGGTTTGCTGTCGTTCTTCGAGCGCTTAAGTTGGACTTTGAGACGCTTCATGCCGATCTGAAAGCCGTTCATCGCCTGAATGGCGGCCTGCGCAGACACTGGATTGTCATAACTGACGAAACCTGTGGTAGAGGAAAGACAAGACAGATTTTGATCATGTTTGAGAGCAAATTACAGATTCTTCTTATTTTAGAGCAACGGTGGTTTTAGCCCGATCTCACAAGGAAATATAACTTTTTTTAAATGTATTTTAAGAAAGAATACCTCCATACTACAACCAAACCATCACGGGGGATTAGCTTATTGTACTAAAATGTATGAATGAGATCATAAAAATTCATACAAATTAGCCACTAAATCAAAAAGTTACACTGTAAATAAATCCTACCTGCTTTAAATTTGAAAGCTAAATGAAATTAAACTTATGAGTTAATTGAACTTATATTATGTTAAACCGACTTAAAACAGCTTGTGACTTATAAAATTAAGTTAAAACATGATTAACTCAGTTTAATATGTTATAATGACCTTAAGACCTAAATTCTGTCATGACTAATTGATCATATAATATTTTACACTGTATGAATTGCCATAAGATTGTGTAGTCGGTTCCCAAGTTGAGAATTTACCCACTATGATTTACCCACTAGATTTATGACGGGTAAAATTAGTTTAAGGGTTACATATACAATAAAACATTTATCAGTTTGATGATAAAAAATATAAAATATTGACAGTTAAAATGCTTACATTTTTATTCAGGTTATCTGCAGTTTACACTGAGTCAGATAAAAAAGTCTAAGTTATGCACTAGTGAAAATATAAATGAAAATGAACCTATTGTGCATTTAAAAAAGGCTTGAATATCTTTCAAATCTTAGTAGATTTTGTTCATGTAAAATCCATTGTTGTTATTGTCATTACTTTAATCTTTACACAATATTTGCTATGATTAAAAACCTAATAATTGTTTTTTTTTTAAAATCTTGTCAGCTAGTTATTTATTCTTTAATGGTTTTGATCATTAAAATAATGGTTTACTGAAACCAATGTTTTAGACCAGGGATGTCAAACTCTAAAACTTAGAACTAAAAACTTAGTTCAAACCCTGCTCCAACACACTTACCTCTAGGGTTCAAACAAGCCTGAAGGAATCAATTAGTTTGATTAGTTGTGTTTAATTAGGGTTGGAACTAAACTGTGCAGGGCTGCGGCCCTCCAGGAATTGAGTTTGACATCCCTGTTTTAGACAATGCATCTCTTATAGAAAAAACACAAGTGTCTCACGAGCTTCATGTGTTAAAATTACAAGCAAGACATAGATGGAATGTGTGGTTTTGTAACATACTCATGTAAAACATGATCATGTCACATTCCAAAACCACGTTTCATGTATGTTTCACTTATGATTTTAACATGCAGTCCATGTAGATTTTCCTGAAAGGGTTCACTAAAACATTGAATTTAATAACTAAAATGATTTATATCTATTTTTTCTGCCATTTAGATAGTTAGTAGACATTTATGAATAAAAATGATTGTGGATAGTTCACCCCAAAAAACCTAAATCTGTTTTTTCCTCGGTTAAACATAAAAGAACATATTTTGAAGAATGTTCTTGAAAAATGTAAAAACACATTGGGACGACATGGAGTGGAAGATCTGTGATTGGTCAGCTGGGTAGCAGTGACGAATGTGAGTGGAGGTGAGAGACGTTCATTTAAATTCAATTTATCTTTATTTCTATAGTGCTTTTACAATGTAGACTGTGTCAAAGCAGCTTAACACAGTGGTAGTAAAGTGAAACTGTGTCAGTCTAGTTTTCAGAGTTGAAGTTCAGTTCAATGTGGTTTGATTTTCTCTGCTAAAAGTCTGATCACTAAAGAGCAAATCCATAAATGCGCAGCTTCACAAGTCCCACCATGTGGGTGTTTAACAAGTCTAGAGTCCCACGAATGAGCTCCAGATTTTTTTTCCTTAGTTTTGTTTTTATTTTGTAATTAAAGTTGTCAGCTTCTTTTTTCCCTGAATGCTTGTAAGCCTGAGCTATTTCTACAGTCGCATTGCAGGCATTACAACTTAAAACAATAACAAAGAAAAAAGTGGAAGATACTGTAGAAACTCCACTGCAGACAGGGACAGAACACAGAAGTATAACTGCTCACAATGACCAAAAAGGCTTTACAAAACAAGTTTTTTGGGTTGATTTCAATTAGACGTGGATTTGGATTACATTTAAATCACCACAGGACCATGCTGTTTGTCCAAAAAAAGTAGGTAATTCGGCCAGTGTTTTTCTCTTGGGTCGTGAGAAGAAAAAGAAAAAATCCCACAAACATTCTGGATTCAAGCAGCTATTCTACCAGTTTTAAATGGCAAATATCCCTTATATCCCCTTGAGAAACAATTACAATCCAGATAGAGAAAATAGCTAGCAGTTTCCAGCATTCTTCAAAATATCTTCTTTCCTGTCCATAACATAATAGAGAAGTCCATACATGTTTGGAAAGAAGTGGATAGTGATTTGACATTTTTGTTTTAGGGTGAACTATCCTTTTAAAAATGCCTGCGGTGTCTCCTCTGTGACTGTCTGTCAGTTCATACCAAAGCACTTGCTCAGATTGGTCTGTTTGTCGATAAAGACTTTGGCAGACACCACGTTTCCGAAAGGCATGAACATCTGTAGGATGTCCTGGTCCCCAAACTCCTGTGGCAGGTGGTAGATGAACAGGTTGGCTCCTTCAGGTCCTGCTCCACACAAACAGAGCATGCACATTTAACAAAGAAGCCACAACCGTGCTGCTGCATTTACAAATCTTCTACATAGTTTAACAGCAAATAGACGCAGTAATAGTAAACAAAATTTGAAACTGATAAGATTACAATTTATTATGCTGTTGTTGATTTATTTATCCTTATAATATTACAAAAGGAATTGTACAAAAAATGCAATAAATTCTGGTTATGCATATCATATTCATAATTCACTATTAGTTAAAGTATTTATGTATATTGTCAGAATTATTAGCCCACAATGCCCCCCCCCCTTAGTTTATTTTTGCCATGATGACAATAAATTAGACTATTGAAAATAATATAGCTTAAAAGAGGCTAATAATTGTGTCTTATATATATATATATATATATATATATATATATATATATATATATATATATATATATATATATATATATATATATATATATATATATATATATTTTTTTTTTTTTTTAAATCAAACACTGATTTTATTCTAGCCAAATTAAAACGAATAAGACTTTTTCCAGAAGAAAAAAATATTATCAGACATACTGTGAAAATGTCCTTGCTCTGTTAAACATCATTTAATCATTTAGGAAATATTTCAAAAAGGAAACAAAATTCAAAGGGGAGCTAATAATTCTGACTTTGACTGTATATAAATATAAATGCTTAATCAACTGCACACTTGAAGCGCAAAATTACTTTGTTTTTTTACATTTTTGTCATGTATATTTTTCCAGATCTGCTGTGCGACATAAATGAGCTATATGTATGAATTTTATAATTAATTTACATCTATGTAATATGAATTTCTAACTAAATGTTTACTTTTACAAAACAACACAGGTTTTCAATGAATTTTTTAAACCATATTTTATAATTCTTATAAAACTTTATAAGGACAACACTTTAAAATATTACTGTCTAATAAACTTTAGAATCACAAACCATTAAATAATTACATGTCACGTGTCATAATATGATAACAAATGTGTACAGAATGTTTTTATTCATTGCCTCTGTGATTTTTAAATGGTTTACATTTTATATATTTGGATATTTATAAATCACAATAGTTTGCTTATTATATATACTTTCCAACCCATATCAAACACACCTGCCTGTAATTATCAAGTATTGTTCAGGTCCTAATTAATTGGTTCATGTGTGTTTTGGGAGGGTTGAGCACTTCCGATTTATAATATAGGAATATAATATTATGAAAAAACAATTATTATAATTGATACATAAAATAAAGACAACTTGAATTTTAAACTAAATAGTTAACATTGCTGGGAAAAAATACCCTTGTGATAGTCAAAATATAATTTGCATTTTTATATGTGTTTTATATTGCATATAATTTACTCATCATCCACTTCCAAAACTGTTTAAACACAAAAAACTAATTTTGAAGAAGACATTAATTTCCACAAGCCATTGATCCATATTTTCCAACTATGGATCTCAATCTCTACCATTATTCTTCAAAATGTCTTCTTTTGTGTTCACAAGAAGAAAGTACCCCTTGAGGTTGAGTAAATGGAGAGTAAATTTAGATTTTTGTAAAACTAGTTTACATCTGCGTCTGTGTGTGTCATACCCTCTTTCTGGCTGCCCGCAGCACTCTGTTGCTGCAGTAGGGACTGGCTGTAGAGGGTGGGCAGGGCGGCAGCCGCGTACTGTTGGATCCCTGAGTAGGCCTGTGTGAGAGCGTCCATAGGCCCGGCCGACCCGTTACTCAGACCTGTGCTGCCCAGCCCGCCATTCAAAGCCGCCATACCTGAGAGCATGTGAGCAACTTTACATAAAACCCAACAATAAAGAAAAAAGAAGTGCTCTTACTCGTTAGCATTTGAACTCGGGGTGTGTTTCTACAACAAAGCACAACACGACACGCACAGAACACACACACACACAAAAATAAAAACCAACGACACATGGAAACGTACACTGCTTGTCAAATAAGTCAGTCAGTAAGTTTTTCAAGTGCTTTTAAAAGAAACCTGTGCCTACCAAAGCTGTATTTGCAAAAGCTGAACAAATATTATAATCATTTAAACTGACCGTTTTCTTTATCCAATGTAGTTTCAGTCTTTAGTGTCATATGATCATTCAGAAATCATATTTACTGTGATATTCTGCTGCTCAATGTATTATTGATTGTATTATTATTATTATTAAAAATTTATTAATATTATCAGTGTATTATTATCAGTTTTTCAGGACTCGACTCTAGAAAATTTTTTCAACACATTTCTAAACCAAATATTTTAATAAATTTTAATTAATTATTTCTTTTATCTTTGGCATGATGACAGTACATAATATTTAAAAAAAGAAATGCTTAAGGGGTTAATAATATTGACAATAAAATGTAAAAATTAAAAAAAATATTTAATTCTAGCCAAAATAAAACAATTGAAAAAAAATATTATCAGAAATACTGTGAAAATGTCCTTGCTCTGTTAAATATCAGTTGAGAAATTTATTTATTTGTTTATTTGTTTGTTTTCCCAAAAGTAAATGCTGTTATTGTTATTTTGAACATTATATTCATCAAATAAACCCATTTAAACATCACCAGTGATTAACTATCAATTATAATTATTCATAATAAAACTATTATTTTTTTTTTATTCCATCTTTTTATTACATTTTAACTATTAATCTCAAAATACATTTTAACAACACAATACTAAAGAAAGATATAAATAATAAAATAATTATAATAAATACATAAATAATAGCAATAATATTAATAATTTTATATATATATATATTTAAATTATTATTTAAATATAATTAATAATAATTATATAATATATAATTAAAAAATGATGCTAAAGATATAAATAATAAAATTATTATAACAAATAATAGTAATAATAATAATAATAATTAAATAAACAAAATGACAATATATAAATAGATAAAATAATAGTAAAATAAAATACATAAATTCAATAACGACATACCATAACTCAAAATACAGCTTAAAGAAACATTAATAAAATCCAAGTAAGGAGTCCAGACTTGATAAAAAGCCCCAGTAGACATATGAATGACACAGTAATATAATAATATTGTGCCACCCTTTCAAGGATGAAAGGTTGTCGCTGATCCAGTTTATTAGTATGTTTTTTTCCAAGCAGCAAAGGCTAAAATGTAAAATAAACGATTAATGAGTTTGTCAGGCAAACGTCCAACTGGGAGACCTAAGATCAAAGATCAAGGATCTAACTGTCAAACAAATGGCTCATAAAAGTAACAACTTTTGACCAATAAGTGCTAACAACAGCACAATTCAATAATAAATAAGTGTTGTCTCCCACTTCCACCTTACATTCAACACAATTACTACTAAATTTACTTCTGAGAATTGGTACAAGTGTAATCTATGAAAAATTCTTAATTAAATAGATTTGGCCCTATAACAGATCTAATCTAGAGTCCAGATCCCATTCCTCATCTGTAATGGTCAGCTGAAGCTTCCCCTCCCATAAAACTAATATTTCTGAATGATCTTGTTACCATGAAGGCTGTAATAATGATGTTGAAAATTCAGGATTGAATCGCAAGAATAAATTCAGTTTTAAACTACATTCAGTAAGCAAACAATCATTTTAAATACTAAAAATATTTCACTGTTTTTACAATTTTGTTTCTGCATTTTTGATTCAGTAAATGCAGCCTTGGTGAGCAGAATTGTCTCATTTTAAGAATTCTCACTGATCTCAAACTTTTGACTGTAACAGTCATTGAAACGGCAGAACCACAAACGTCACGCAGGACAATACATCATAAACACCACCCACTCACACACAGATATACACACACACACACACACATAACACAAGATAGAGAAGATACATAATATACTGACCGGTGTATGCAAATGAGGAGCGCGGCCTAAACATGCACAATGTCACAATAGCAGCACGAAACGACCCTCAGACACACAAAACATCTGACCAATCACCTTTTTAACCTTACACTGCGGAGCGCTACGTTAATTATCTCGTTATTCGTGTCAGCAGTCTGTGTATTAAAAAGGGGTTGTGGGGAAAACATTAAAGGCTTTTAATAAAATACAAACGCATTAAAGGCAGAAGCCCAGCCTGCAGAAACAGATGCAAACGTGCTTCGGGGAGTAACTTCTGTAAACATACGGGCATCGGTGCGGAGAAACTCTTTGGGATTACTGTTCAAAAGATTTTTAATGTGTTTGAAAGATGTTTTTCGCTTATCCTTAGCAAGGCTACATTTACTCTTAAATAAAAGTGCAAATAGAGTTTAAAAATAAGATTAATTTAAACAAACAAACAATAATATATATATATATATATATATATATATATATATATATATATATATATATATATATATATATATATATATATATATATATAAAGTTTTACAAAATGTAAATAAATAAATGAAACAAAAAATCTTAAATATAATTAATTAACAAAAGTGTTGGTTAAAGATGTGATGTTTGAATTATGCATCTAATGAAATTATATTATAAATAAATAATACAATTAATTAATTATATTATTTAAAAATATTGTATTTTGTTAAAAAGTGTAAAAGAGTTTAAAAATGTTATTAATTTCAACAAAAAAATCAAATAAAAAATATATTTGAAAATTTTTACAAAATGTAAAAAAATAAATAAAACAAACATAAAAATCTAAAATATAACTATATAAACAAGCAAATAAACAAAAAAAAATTAATAATGATTGAACACATAAATAACTAAATAAATTAATAAATTATTTAATTAATATTTGACTATATTGTTTAAAATATAGTATTGTGTTAATAAGTGTAAATAGAGTTTTAAAAAATAGATTATTTAAACAAATAAACAAATCAATTAAAAATAAATTTGAAACCTTTTACAAAATGTAAATAAGTAAATAAAACAAATCTAAAATATACTAAATAAACAAGCAAATAAACAAAAATAATTAATTAATTAATGACTGAATAAATAAATAAATAGAAATGTGTTGGTCAAAGATGAAATATTTGAATTATGCATCTAATAAAATTATATTATAAATAAATGAATAGAAAAAATAAATAAATATTAATTCATTATTTATTTTAAAAATCATATTATATAGTGCTAAATAGTGTAAATAAAAAAAACAAATAAAATAAAAATAAATTTTAATAGTTTTGCTAAATAAAAAAAAAAATCTATAATATAATTAAACAAGCAAATAAACAAGCAAAAATAAATAAATTAATAATTGAATAATTAATTAATTAAATAAATAAATAAATAAATAGAAGGGGGTCAAATATGAGATATTTGAATTATGTATCTAATGAAATTATAATATAAATTAAAATTAGAATTAGAATTAATGAATTAATAATTATATTATTTAAAATAAACTTATATTTACGGAAATAACTTTTTTTCTTTGTTGGAAATTAATTGCAAATATAAAACCAAAAATAAAAAATGAATGTGAAATTACGTCCAAAATAATCATCATTTCATTTAACATATATATTTTTGCAAAATGAAACAAAATATGAATATATTTAGTCATTATATTTAGTGGATATTTAGACGGAATATTTAGTGGTCATATTTTTAAAATAAAAAAAATCGCCCTTATTGGGTGTTTCCTGTAAGTCTGATATGAAGTATAATTGATATATTAAGTATATATATAATAAAACAAAAAAATAAATAAAATAAAATAAAATAAAACAAAATAAAATAAAATAGGGGTTTTATAGGGGGGAAACTACACCTAAAGCCATGTAATACTGAGGGTAGATTGCACCATAATCTTACTACAAGCACGATCCACCTGGAGCAAGCCGGGGTTTAGTGTCTTGCTCAATAGCACAATGGTTATGGATCAAAAGCACGTCACAGTTGACTTCCAGCAGAGATCAAAAACACCAGCCTTTCTCAAACTGAGCTTTACCTTACATTGGTTACAAACCTCAATAACTTAAGAGGGGCAAACTAGTTCAAATCAATTTTTTGACTTCAGTATTCAAATAATCTGTCATTTATTTCTAAACAAACTAATTAATTAGATGTTAAATGCTTTCATTATATCAGAAGCATCAGATACATTACAATATAATGTAATAAAATAGTTATTTTTTATTTAAAAAGCTACTATATGGAAATAAATATTCATATTGCTTAACAACATGCTCAAATCGTCTTTCTGTGTAGAAGCAGTTGTCTACACGTAGTGTGTACAGACTATAAATGATGCATAAGTGTGTGTGTGTGTGTGTGTGTGTGTGTGTGTGTGTGTTTATAAAGACTGATTCATGAGTATTTACTGACTGGCCTTTTGGCTTGACGGCCTGGAAACAATAAATGATGAGCGAAGTGCTTGGACGGCCAGATCCCTCATTTATCCAGCAATAATTACAATGCTGACCTTTTATATTCAATTACACAATACAGCCTCTTAAATGAGCACTGGGAGTGTGTGTGTGTGTGTGTGTTTGTATGTGTGAGAAAGAGTCATTTGAATGAATTTAAATTGTAGGCGTTCTGTTGCAGAGAGCTTGATTTATAAAACTGGAAACCTGGCTGAAAGGTCAGCGGCGGTGGATAGAGATTTTGCCTGCGTGCCGAAACATTGACATATACACATGCACAGGCTACACTGATCTTTCGCACGCCTATTCATACTAATTATGTTCCGCAACGCCCATTAGGTACATTCTATTAGAAGATGAATAGCGCAGGTCTTGAATGCTGATTTTTCAATACAGCTGTCCAGTCTTGGAAACGTGCACAAAAGCTAATGTGCAACTGTCTACCAGCTACTGTGTGTATCATTAGACTCACATAACCTAGCTTAACCTAACTTCAGGGATACTTCAACCAGAAATGAAAAATTGTAATCAGTTACTAACACTCATATCATTCCAAACCTATAAGCTAGTGATTTGAGCCTCTTCAATTATTGTGAAACTGCAAAAACATTCTTAAACATAAGTTTGACTGCAGGTTTTAGGTAAAATGAACACTAGGGGGCAGTATGACGACAACAACTTTTGCTCCTTTTCAAACTAATGATATTTACAGGGTTATTTAGCAAAATGTCAAATAAATACCACAACACTACTTAACAGTGTCTATTATTTGTAATCAAATATGTTTATTTTTCTCTATCTAGCTCTATATGGACAATTTTTCCCATGTGGTCAGTTTGCTCGGTAGTTTACTTTGTACAGTGCTATACTTATGATGCAGGGGTTTGTGTCTGGTGAGGCACACTTTAACAAGAGAGATAAAAGTAGTGTAAAATCAAGGTTAAACTATGTCCTCGTGGTGCATTTTTCTCTTAGGTTTGCTTTTGTAAACACTATTGGTTGGGTTTCGAGAAGGGTTTAAGTCAGTTGTTCACAGGCGATCTGTCTGATAAACCCTGCCCTCATGGACGTTTACAAGAAGCACATGTATATAAAATGTATAACAAAATGCGCATTATTTAACAGCGCCCTCTGGTGGATTTGTCATCTGAAACATGCAATAAACCATACGCAGAGCAATGTATGATTTGTAAGGCTGAACCATGTTTTAATGTTTTGGGTGAATTAGGGTGGCCAGTTTTGTTACAACAAGAAAATGTAGAGAAATAAATAAATATCTAAGTGCAAATGTAATATTCTCATTATATACAGTGATCCCTCACTATAACAGGGTTCACTTTTTATGGCCTCACAATTTCATGGATTTTTTTTTTTTTGTGCACTTTGACATGCTTTTTTTTCTACAGCGCATTGTGGTATGTGTCCTCACTAGCTGTAGGCCATTGTCACTCAATCCTCTCTGTGCCGTGTCGTCCGTAAAGTACAAAATGCGTTCAGTTTGCTAAGTTTACATAAATCTTTGATCGCTAGCAGTGTGACTCTGAAGTGCTGTACTGCATGTTTTCTCTACACAATGTTGACCAGACGTTTTGCACTATGAAAGTCACCTGCGGTAGCACCCAAAAGGCAGGGGGATATGCTAACCATTGCACAAAAAGTTGATCTTCTGGACATGCTAAAGAAAGGTAGAAGTTACGCGGCTGTAGGGCGCCATTACAGAATAAATAAATGGTTTTGATCTTTGGTTTCGTCTTTAATACTGGAATTAGTTTTCTTCAAACTTTGAGAGTGTTTAAACAAGAGAGAAAAGTGTGAAAATGTTAATAAGTATATAAAGTGTGTAGTGAGGGAGTTTACAGCCTTAAAAAAATCTATAATAATTGTAAAAAATAAAGCTGATTACTTTGTGGATTTTGCCTATTGCAGGTTATTTTTTAGAAAGTAACTGCAAATAACGAGGGACCACTAATTAGTTTCCACTCCAGCTTGGTGTAGAAATATAAACGTTTAAAATGTGTCTATTATAAAACCTGATTTTTAGACTGATTTATTCAACAACTAATTAGTAAATGAGAGATCATAAACAAGTATGGAAAAAAAGAGCAAGAATGTCTGGATTAATAATACTTTATGGACATGAATGAGAATAAATATATATTAAGGACATAGAACTACAATACAATACTGTCACGGGTAAAATGACATGTGTGGTTACTCCTAAGGTGAGAAGACTGTCACTAGATGGACAGGAATGTCAGAAGTCATTCCAATATTTATTGTGCATACATAGGTCAAATTAAAGTTGCAGATTTAGAATGGCAGGAAGGTTTTTAATTTGTGAAAGAAATTTCACTTTTGGATGAACTAAACCCTAAAAAAAACAAGTCTGTGATCAATTTATTCACCTTCACAACGTTCCATACCTCTTCTAATTCCTTTGTTTGATAAGGATTTTTCATTACTGTGAGTATTTTTGAGTTGACCTTGTTTTGTTTTCATTTCTGGGTGAACAATCCCCTAGTATACATCAAACAGCATCTTCTATCTCTTCAAGTCTAAAATCCTTCAAACTCCAATGATAAAACACATATACACAACATACACACACACACACACACATACACACACAATAGCGACAACACAAGTGCACGTCTATAGAAACACCCAGAGCAATGGTTTAGCGGTGTGTTAATGTGTGAAGATGCGGCCAATTGGTGCAAACACACTTACAACTACAAGTGATGGACTACATTTGTTCTGACTCAGCAAATGGAATTGATCTGATACATTTTGATTCAATAATGAGCCATTTTACAAACCACACACACACACTTTCAATATATTACCAAAATAATCACCCAACAAATTATCACTGATGCTCAGAGAGATGCCCTTGTTTTGTTTGCCCTTTAGAATAAATTGAACAAAAACTTATTGAATCTTTGATTCTGATTGGCTGATGTGGGGTTAGTTTCAGATAAATGTACAGCTAAAGTAGTTCCAGACAGTTATTGACTTCATTAAACTTTCATATCACTACTGCAAACTATTTCAGTTATTCTACAGTAGACAAAAAGTCAAATGAGATGAGATGCGTAAAAAACTAGTCCCAGCAGTAGTTTGAGGACAAAAATCTGACAAATAAATTGATATACAACATTTGAAGGATATCTTTAGGGGTTGTTATTAGGTGTAAGCAAAATAATTGACCCAGTCCATTAAATTATTAGAAAATAAATGCTATCGGTATGACCACATCACCACCTCAGGTGTGCATCGTCTTCTAATAATTCGATAGCCTGTCATCAATTCTTCCGCACATAGACTATGTGTGTGTTTAGGAGACTGCGGGCATCTCTTTGAGCAGTGGTTGACTGGTATGAAGTGATGTTTCATGGATTGAAATGGAGAGGCAGATGGACGGTAGTACTCACTGTTGACGCTACCTGCTAGTGCATTAATGTTATTGAGGCCCACGGTGGCCCCGGCCAGACCCTGCAGTGTCCCCAGAGAACCCAGGGAACCCATGGCAGCGCTGGAGTTTGCTGTGGAACCTGCTGTGGGGAAAGACAGACAGAGTAGGAAGGAGAGACAGATGGAGAAATGGAGGAGGAAAAAAAAGAGAGATGTTTGAATGTACATATACAATCGCTGATGATACTGGAATGGTTAAAGATACATATATAAAAGCATTAGTGGTGGTACACAGAGGGAAGGAGGCATGGATGGATGATTGATTTGTGGATAGTCGAACTGGGCGGGGATTAAATATTCAAGTAATGTGAATATCATTAAACTAATTTTGCAATCCAATTTGTTGATGAGCATACTGTATCCCATTGGACAAATTAAACTTGCTTTCATCCCTAAAGTGAACTTTGGACCAGTACTTTGACCGCACAACATGGTCCTCAGCAAAGGTTAAGGTTGAGCTTTTGAATCTTTTTAGTTCCTTTTGATTCTTTGCTAAAGATGTTTTGGTCAATCCAGAGTGAGCTTTCAGTCCAAATTACTGTAAGTAATCCTTTTAAACATCAATACACTGTATGCCAACACTGATCCTTACCCTGTTCATTTACTTCTGTTAGGATAAGGTCAAATGTGACTAAGCCGCAACTTTGAAATGTTGTAAATTATAGGTTGTTCTCAAATTTTGATTACCACTGTATAGATACATTTCTTATCATGCAGTCTTAATGAAGTAGATGAGACTGGATGAATAGATGTCCGGGTGGATAGATATATGCATAATACTTGTTTGATCCCTAAATGGAGTACCTTAAAATTGCAGAAAAAAGGCAAGAGTTCTCGACAACAATGTTGATTATTGCAATCATGAAGGTAACGATGCTTTTACAGAAGGGCAATGCAATACAAAACATCCCTTAAAACAAGCAAGAGTATGTAAAAAAAAAAATTTCCTTCATTTGCCTTTAAGCAAGTATGAAAGAAATTCTCAAGTTTCAGAGCGAGAACCAACGGTAGAACCATGTGCCACACTGTCTCCTGGTTTTAGATTTCAGAAATGAGTGGAGCACGGTTAAAGCCAAAGAGCACAACAACGTAACGCCACACATATTGACACATTCTCCCAAACACAATGATGAATATGATGACTGAACCGTGATGGACGGTACCAAGGAACTACAATCACAAACACACAAATACACAAGACATTGCGATGAAGGACATTTAAACACCAAAGACAATGAGGAACTCAACTAGAAACGAAAGAAGGGACAACGGCGCTATGATGCAAATGATACCACTATCGAAGATGATGTTGATGTTGTTGATGATGATGATGATGGGATGGCCTCTGGTTACCTGGGCTGGCCAGGGCTCCCAGGGACCCTGTGCTGGAGGTCAGGGCGCTAGCGGTGGACGGGCTGGCCGAGCTCTGTGCTGCAGCCGCTGCTGCTGCTAGAGTGGCCAGATTCTGCAACTGCAGAGCATTCATACCTGAAGAAAGAGAAAGTGTCAATGTCTGCGTGCGTGTGTATTGTGCATGATAAACTAGAGGGTTCATTCATGTGCTCTTCAGAATACTCTACAAGAGCATGTTTTATTTATGTACAAGAATTTGTATGTAGTGGCGTTAGCTACATAAGATTGAATTCTATGCGTGAGCTCGAGTACATCTACAAACTCCAAAGGTGACTCTAGATTAGTGTGTTTGGGGCACGGCTACATGCAGTGGCCATGACGCCAACACACCATGGGAAGTGGCACAACGCCAAGAAGGACAGAGACTTGAAGTGGTACAACAGGAAAATGCACAGCATGTGTCGTATATACATGTAAAATGTATATACTCTATACTACATGAAAGCACCCACACACAGAGAAAATACACACACAAGGGACACACAGAAATACAGCTGAGGAAGTGCACATAAGAGTTACACTGTAGGTCCTGTCCCAAATGCAGCCCTCCTATGAGGGAAGAATTTGGTGACAAATGTCCCATGATGGTCTAGATTTCATTCCAAGAGCTGGTTAGACGAAAGTGACCACTGAACAGAGATTGTGAGCACTACATTACTAAAAATGGGACACCCTACAGTCTCATAGACTTCACAGACACAAGACAACCTCTAAGATGACAAGCAAATGCCAGTGTTTGTCAGCTGAGATTGAAAGCAAGGACACAAACACAGAATCTGATGCAATCATGAAAAAAAGAGGCTTTTTCAGCGTTATCCCATTAGACAACAGTAGCATGTAATTTGGATTGGTCAGACAGTGCTCTGGGGATGCTACGCTTGTCTGCCCTCTCGATCCACTGAGCAAGCAAGAGAATTAAGAGCCTAATTAGCACATCACAGAAGGTGATTAGAGGCAGGAAATCTACCTCTAATTGCAAAACAAAACCTGGGTCAAGATATAAGGGCAAAGATGCATCTGTAACATGTTGCAGGTCCTAAATAGCAGGTTTAAGGTAAGTGTGAAATGCCATACAAGGCAAAGTTGATGTCCATAATGTGACATTTCCAACAAGAAGAAGGAAGAAAGAGTAGGATAGGGCCGATGGAAATTAGTTTCAACCTAGGGGCCTTGAAGGACGGTGTTGGTGGGATCTGTGATGGAAAAACAAAGTCCTCTTCACATTATAATAAATAATTACAAATACTTAATGTATTACTTTTGTTCACAATGAGTCCAAGAATGTTAAAGGTCGATTAAACAAGTCATTTCTGATTTTATGCTTCATGACTTCAACCTTGAATATTATATACTATAAAAAGAAAGCAGAAATAGCTGTCACTGGATGAGAAAGTGCAGTGTTGGGAGGTCAAAAAGGAAGGTTACGACAGAAATGGACTCTGAAATTGAGTGCTTTGTGACCGCCTTTGTGCTTGTGAATAAAGCGGAAAGGGAACCATTTCGAGTTTTTGGCACATAAGTGTAAAAAAACGGGCACTGGGTATCTGGCACAATGTGAATTCTGTGGTTGAGAAGGGCACTTCTAGAGTGAGTGTCTGCGTGTGTGAGATTGAGAAGAAGAGAGATCCATCCATGCAGTATGTTCACACTCTCAGCGTACTGAGCGGAGAGAGAGGTGTCAGAAAAGAGGTGATGCTGGCTCTCGCTGAATGTTCATCATGTGTAATGGAGCTCCTTATGGCTTGTAACTCCACCCACAGCACAGACACAGCAGATGTCAGCTGTATATATCGGCTGCCAATCATAGACGGTTGCCAGGAGACAGATGGAGGGGCCCAAAGATTTCACAATTCAGCCGAGAAAAGCCTTCAAATCCTGTAGAGTTTGAGAGCTCCTGTCGATTCACACTTCAAGTAGCATCTCAAACAGCCCGATATGTTTATCTGGTCATATTGAGCAGGTTTCTGGCTTGTGTGTCTACTTTTTAAAACTTTTGGCCATTGTTCCATTCTGACAGAGAATAGTAAGGAACAAAAAAGTGAAATGTGGAGAAAGAGAACAATGAAGACTTTTTTGCATTAGTTTAGCTCCAACCAACCCAAATAAAAACTACCAGGAAGTTTCTAGTAATCCTTGTGAATTTGATTAGTTGGTTTATGCATGCTTAAATCGGACCTAAGCTAGGATTTTGAAAGTAGGCATCTGGACAATCTTGATGCTAGGCACTAGGTCAGTGTTTCCCAACCATGTTCCTGGGGACACAGAAATAGCACACATTTTAAAATCTTTTCTAATCAAACAAACCTGATTTCATGTAAGTGGAAACTGGTCAGATAAAGATGTTTCCAATAAAGAAGTTACATGTGTTGGTGTACCTCTAGAATTAGAATTAGTGTTGGGATACACTTAACTAGGTCTTTGTTATTACTAAGTTAAAGGAATACTCTCTGTTTAAAAACAAGAAAGGCTCATTTTACAACCCTCCTAACAGGCTGATATGCTTATCTGGTCATATTGAGCAGGTTTCTGGCTTGTGAATATGCTATGGTCTCCTTTTGAAACTGTTGGTCATTATTCCACTCTGGCAGAATAGTAAGGAACAAAGAAGTGAAAAGTGGAGAAAGAGAGAACAATGCAGACAAATGAAGTGTGGTGCAAGTAAACCTCACTCCTCTGACCTCTAAAGGTGCTTTAGTAACAGACACTAGAGGCTATCGTCTTTAGCCTCCTTGTTAGAGCAACCGACTCCCATGCGGAAGGTCACTGGTTCGTTCCCAGTTTAGAGTGGGTTGGGTGGCGTAAAACCATCAGGGTTATACTGGTGCTGTGACCTGGATGGGGGTGAGGTTTAGGGGGGTGAGTGTAGCAGAGGCCAGCTAGTGAAGTGCTGAGCAGGTAAACCTCAATCCTCTGACCTCTAAAGGTGCTCTAGTGACAAGCAGTAGAGGCCATGGTCTTAAGCCTCCTTGTTAGAGCAACCGACTCCCATGTGGAAGGTCACCGATTAGATCCCAGCTCGGAGCAGGTTGGGTGGTGTAGGACAGGCAGAGTTACACTTGCATTAGTTTAACTCCAACCTACACAAACGAAAACTAGTAATCCTTGTGAAATTGATTCATTGGTTCATGTTTGCTTAAATTGGGTAAATTGGGTGCTTTAATTTTCTAATCAAACAAAGTTGATTTCATGTAAGTGGAGACTGGTCAGATAAAGGATGTGTCAATTAAAGGAGTTACGCAAAAACGTGTAACGTTGGTGAACCACTAGGATCAGTGTTGGGATACACTTCACTAGGTCATGGTTGTGATTACGTTTAAGTACAGGTGTCAAACTCAGTTGCTGAATAGCTGCAACTCTGCACATTTTAGTTCCAACCCTAATTAAACACACCTGACACAACTGATCAGACTAATTGAGTCCTTCATGCTTGTTTGAAACCTACAGGTAAGAGTAGGGTGGGAACTAAACTGTGCAGGGTTGCAGCCCTCCAGGAATTGAGATGGTTTTCCTGCTTTAAAGGAAAAATCTGTTTAAAAACTCTCCTAGGACTTTTTCATCATTGTTGAGCAAGATACTAATGGTCCAATACAATGGTCTATGTTAAGCTAAGCTAAAAGTGCTTCCAGCAGGACTGGAGATTGGCTGAATGGATCAAAAAAATAGTAAAACTCAATTGTTGACGAGAGTTGTAAAATCAATAAAGCTTATTTTCAAAAAGAAAGTGGAGACTGGTCAGATAAAGGATATTTCAGATAAAGTAGTTAAACATATTTGTGTACATCTAGGATCAGTGTTGGGATACACTTCACTAGGTCATGGTTATGATTACATTAAAGGAACACTTTCTTGCATTAGTTTGGCTCCAACCTAACCAAACAAACCCTACCAGGTAGCTTCAACTTGCTACAACAAACCTTTCTGGAAGTTTGTAGTATATCTATAAAAAGCTTGATTAGCTGGTTCAGATGTGTTTAATTGGGGTTGGAACTAAAAACTGCAAGACACAGGCCCTCCAGGACCGAGTTTAGGCACCCCTGCTCAAGGATCAGTGTTGGGATACACTTTGCTAGATCATGGTTATGTTAAAGGTACACTCTCCAAATACATTTTACAACTCTCCAAACAGGCTGATTCTGTTTATCTGGTCATATTGAGCAGGTTTCTAGCTTGTGTGTATACTTTTTAAAACTTTTGGCCATTGTTTCACTCTGACAAAGAATAGTCAGAAACAAAAAAAAAAATAAAAATGGAGAAAGAACGAGGCAAACTTGCTTGCATTAGATTAGTTCCAACCTACCCAAACAAAAACTACAAGGAGCAAGATACGAATGGTCTAATACATGGATCTATATTAAGCTAAGCTAAAAGTGCTTCCACCAAGACTAGAGATTGGCTGAATGGATTAAAAAATGGTAAAACTCAACTTATGATGGGAGTTAAAAAATGAGCTTATTTTCATAAAGAAGTGAAGTGTTTCTTTCACCTAATATGTAGTTGAGTTTGGTTCAAGATCATAATGTGTCCTACCAAAATTTGAAGCTGAACCTGGTGATGTGTGGCTTGCACATTGTGTCCGATTTGGACTATAAGGAAAAGACCAACTTGACAAAACATCTTCCTTTCTAGTCCACCAAATCAAACAAGCCAAACACGTTCAAAAAGACACAACGGTGCGCAAATGACAGAACTTCCAATTTTAGGTTGAACGGCTCCTTTCTTTAATCCAGCGCTGACACATTTCTGTATATAATCTGTAGGTATATTAACAAACTATTTCGTCCATCATGCATGACCAACTCCCATTCATTTCCGCAAATAGAGCAGTTTGATTAAGTCAAAACTAAGCTGTTTTCGCTGATTATATTGCCTTAAAAAATGAGGTCCGGAAAATTCAATTGTTATGGTAATGTGGGAATTTTTCGCTCTTTAATTGTGCGGTGGCAGCTGCTGCTGGTTTGGCTCGATGTGCTCTTCATTCTCGCTGAGAGGCTGTCACAGACGTACACTGAACTTAAACGAGAGCTTCCAGAACTCTCTTCATAATGGTAAACAAAAACACCACAGTCCTGCTCACCCTCTCCACAAGAGCCTACATTAATGAGGAAGCCACTCTCTGGTGTGCAAAACTGTTGTCAGGGGGGAAGGCTTTAGGAGATAAAGGCACTCATCCTACACACACTGTAAGCCATTTTGGATGCTAATACGTTCTCTTTCTTTCATCCTTAGCAGCTGCAATTAGGCGAGAGCGCGTGCTATAAATATTTCACTTTCCTTGAAGGCCTGGCAGCTTGATAAACAGACCACAATTAAGACCTGACAAGAACAGAGACGCACACTGGGAATGTAATGCACAAGACAGCAAAAAAACACTGAAAACGGGAAAAAAAAAAAGAAGCAAACGGAGCAAAGAAGAACTTTCACGTGATGTCTGAGGCGTAAAACTGTCAAAGAGAAAACAACATACACCTGTCTAACAGCAAGAGTAAGCAGAAGCTCATTGGCAGATGTTGTAAAACACTAATCATATTCCAAAGTGTGAAACCAAGTCAGCGTGAGGAAGAATAACACATCACGTAAGCTTCAGTGAGGAATACAGCTTGTGTAGTTGAACTCTCTGCGGGTTTCTGCTGAGTTTGACTGTATTCGTGGCATGAACAAACTGTGATAAGTGGCCTCTTTCGTTCTCCCCTCTTTTTGCTAAAGTGAAAATGTAAAAAGCTGAAGACATCGGAGGGTTGATGGGGCGTATCATCATGATCTGGTTCCCCATAAGCCTGACAGAGCTCGGGCGAGGAGATGTAATTGGATGATGAGGCACAATCTTCTTCCAAGACACAAAAATGGTTTGATGTACATTGGAACGGGCATGGAAAAATGGCTTTTATTTGCTCGATCAAGTCTGACACACACACACATACGCTTAAAGTGTCCAGGTGCGCTACAGTTTTAGAGAGCCAAGGATTCTGCAAACATGATGAAACTACAGTCTGAAAATGTTCTCAACCAAACCCCTGCTGATCTTTCGTTGGGGCTTCTAATTGGGTTTATTACGCGACCCATACAGTAGCTGGATTGAATGGTTTAGTAGGGGCGGATGGGAGTTTAGTTGAGGAGTTACAATGGCTAGTTGGGTTAACGCAGATCTCAGAACAGTATCTCACCTGCCATTTGCTGAATACCACTGAACGCTCCTAGGTTACTGGAGGAGGTTGCTTGTTGAAGCAACTAAGGGAAAGAGAGAGAAAAGCAGGCCATTAACATGCAATCACTTTCACACACATTGGCTTAAGGTGATGGATATATAAGGATAATGTTTGAAGGAGCTAGTGTTAACTAAATATAGATGAAACACTGTGATTTGTTCCATGTTGTCTGGAGTGACATTATAAAGCAGTCTGTCAACAGTCAAGCAACACAAAAGCCTCTATCTGCCAGGGCATGCTTGTAAGTCAGAATTTGTACTGGGTCTGTTCTAGTTTTGTATTTTAATCTAATGTGCAAAATTAAACCAAAAACATATATTTCTAAATGATGACTTTTTTGACAGTTCTCAGCAAAACACAACAAAATATGGTCAACAAAATGATTAAGATCATGGCATGTTATTGTGATGCAGCTGAAATTCGTAGCCCTGCTGTAAAATTTGAATTATTTTTCAAATATTTCCCAAGTGATGAGCAAGGACATTTTGATAGTATTTCCCATAATATTATTATTTTTTCTTGAGAAAGTCGCCAAGTCTTCTTCACCAATTTGGTCTCAAAATTGATTTTAGTTTGACTACAATTAAATAATAATAATAAAAAAATGTTAATATTATTAGCCCTCTAAAAAATTATTTTGATTGGCTACAGAAGAAACGCTGTTGTCCAATCACTTGCCGAATAACTTGCCTAGTTAACAAGGGCAAATAAACTAGTTAAAAGTGCAGTATGTAAGTTTGACACTCAATGGTTGAACTAGGTATTGCATGCCTGGTTCAAAACATGCAAGCGCAGGTTGTGTGCCAAACTATCGAGCTTAAATGGTGATTTAAATCGTGCTCTAAATAAAAGCAATGGCACATTGAGTTTTTATTCTAACCAACACCTGAAATTGATATTTTAGAAATGGCTTCTATTCCTTGCAGCTGAACAACAGGATAAACTGACAATGTTTTTCTCAGGTATACCTCATGTGCTTTATTTAGTGTTAAATGCTAATAATGTGAGTTTGAATGCCATTTTTCATGACATTTATTGCCATACTACTGAAAACAGTAACAGATAGTTTACCTCAGATCTTGAATATAAAATAAATGAATTGAAATTGAACTTTAGAGCTTTGACTCGCGTATCAGTGATTCAGCATGTGCATTTAATAATGTTAAAGAGGTTTAATATGTATTATTTTGATTATAAACCTTACCATTTTGTTGGAGTGTAGTAAGTGCACCAATCTGTGCTTTTAAATGGCTGTATTTGAACGATTCTGTCTGGTGCCAATAGCCAAATTGATTATCACTGCAAATCTTGTCACATAGCGTGTTGTTACTGTCATTTGGTGGTTTAAAAAACCAAAACAAAGACAGTCATTCTGGCATGTAACACACATTTTTAAAGTTGAATATCTGACTTTAGCATTGTTTTTCAGATAACAAGAATGTTTACCAATCATGTTTCTTCAATATCTGCATATTATCGTATTTTTATGCTATAGAATAGTCAACTTACATTAAAGCACCTCTAAGCCTTAAATATATGTAATATTGTAATATGTAAATATTTGTGTACTGTCATCATGGTAAAGATGAAAGATATTAGTTATTAGAAATTAGTTATTAAACTATTGTGTTAAAATCTGTTACAGCACTTGGGAAATATTTGAAAAACAAGATAATTTTTACAAGAGGACTAATAATTTTGCTTTCAACTGTTTAAAAGGCAAGATTAATTCTATTTCTTGTTCAAAAATGATGCTAAGTCACTTAAAATAATCATTTGAAAGCAGCTTTAGTCACAACATATAGTGCTCAGAATGAAAAGAAATTCGAGGAATAAAATGGTAAAATACTTGAGGAGCACTTTAAGGTATTAGACTCATGCATCGGTGCCATTGAGAACTGTCATGCTAAGAGTCGCCCGTCAGTTCTGTTGGCAGTGTGTTGCTGTCCTGGGCAGTTTCTGCACATGAAAGGGGAGAGGAAAGCAGACTCTAAATGACTCTAGAGGATTAGGATGACATTGAACTAGACCCCTCAGACTACTTAAAAGCTAAACGTAACCTCAACATGACAGGGAAGTGGAAAAAGGCAGAAAAAAAAGGAGAAGCGTAAGGGTTGGAGAGATGGCCCTGTCCCAAAGCTCTTGCCTAGTCCTGTAATCCTCACCCACTGTCCTTATGGAAAGAAATGCAAGTAAATGTCACCACCGTGTTGCATCCTCTTTATGTTTAGGAGGATGAAGACGGAATGTGAGTGAAACAGAGAATTGAAATATTGTCTTCATTCCCAATCCAATTACACAACAGAGCCCAAGCTGGGTTTGGGAAGTGATGATTTGTATATTCTTTTGAACAATATTCCATACATCTTTTAGGACAGATTATCCAATGCCAGAACAGGCCTACATATTTGTAAAGCATTATGGCATGGGATGACATGTTGAGTAGTGGTGATTATTCTTAGTTTTATTAGGCTTTTTACTGAATTTAAAGAATTAAATAACAAAAAGATGTATCTCCTGTTGCAGTGGTTCTTATCCTTTTTGCATCCAAGGCCCCCTTAGTCTACAAACTTTCTTACATTTTTGTTGTTGTTCGTGATTTACTGTATAAGGATTATGAATATTTTGTACTTAATCACACATTTCATTGATTTACGCTTGTTTTAATACTAGTTTTGTCTTTAGGCCCTGATATACTCACAGCAAATTTCTTTTCATCCTTTAAAGTCCCCATGAACTAAAAGCTGTGATTGCTATTTTTTTTTTCATATTGTGACGCAGCTCCTAAACAAACAGAGTTTTAAATGAGCAAAAAGTGGGCGAGGCTTGTTTTTCTACCATGGGCTGAATGGATGTAGCCAAGTAGGCATTTCATTCAGAAAGATCGGGATAGGGGTTTTAGTACAGCTAGTACAACCTAACTAACAGAAACCTTATCCTCATATTTTTTTAGCAGACATATCAACATTATGTAATTAGTTTGAAAACATACCCATTTTAAAAAACTGTTTGCATTTACAACATTCAGAAAATACATTCTGCATTGATTCAAAAATGTTCCAAATACATCACAATTCTCTCTTGAAATAATTCTGAGCTTAGTTTTTAAAAAAATGTATATAAGCTCAGTATTCCAGATTCAAGCTAAAATAGCGATGCATTTCGATGAGGGTTGCATGATTTTATAAAAAAAACATTGCAATATTTTATTTTCCTGCAATGTATATTGTGATATTGAGTTTAAGTTCACTGGATGACTTAAATAAATTGAATCTGTTTGGAAAAATATATATAATTTTAGATTAATTTGCATGATTTTGTAGGGCAGCGCATCTGCATAAAATATAATAAACCAATCTCATGCTTTGACAAATACTGTAAAGCAAAAATACAGCTTTATACTTTTTTTGGTTTCTAGAAGTATTCAGGTACACAATTTGAATAACCAAATGTAAAATACTATGTATAATCTTCATCGTATAAATACATAAATTACAATACATATTCTTCATATACATATTCTAAAGTTACAAACATTATGAATTATTGTGCCCGAATGCTTTAAACTAGTTTGAAATGCTAAGATTAAATGCCTGAAAAGGATACAATTTTTTGGTTACTTTGTTACTTAGTTACTGCAAAGTGCAACCTTTCCTTCATTTTCCGTCGGCTAAGTCTCTGATTTAAAATAAAATGTCAGAGTAGTTGGCGGTTCATTCCACTGTGGTGATTTTTTTTCATTGAAATTCTGAGATATGAATATTGCGAATGCACACATTGTGATATCGATGCTGAAACGATTTATTGTGCATCCCTAATTTCAATAGATTGATTCCTCGAACGATTTTTCACTCCAGTTTACGTCTTGAAACCCCATTAGCTATGGTTCCATCCAATAATGTGAAATAACTTAGCAAAACTGGAACATCAAATAAAATACTGGAATTTGTGTGGTAAAAGTGTTTCCATCGTAGTTAATGCACATTTTTCCTTATCGAATAAAAATTTGATCCTACTCAGTTATGTGCATACATTTTCTATGCTTATTTTCAAAATTGATGTGCATCTTGCCATTTCCATCAACCGATTTTTTATGCGCATATGCAAAATGCACATAAAAATAGGTGAATGGAAACTTAGCTATTGTTGACCCTGAGCAATATGGGTAAGAACCACTGCCCTTATGCCATCTAAGTGGCAGCATTATATTGAATAAGGACTGGACTGAATCAAAGCTGAACAGATGAGAGATTTGGAAAGGGTTGAGACTGGCTCAGAGAGAGCGAGAGAGGAGGGGGCGGGGCAGGTGGGCGGAGACAGTGACTGACTGCGGCGGCTGCGTTGGCTGTGCTGCTGGTGGGCGTGGCTGCGTGGGTGTGTCCTCTTACTGCCAGATACTGCGGGGTGAGGCCAGTCAGGCCGGTCAGGCTGCCCCAGGCAGAAGCGCTGTTCAACTGCTGCATCTGCTGCGCCAACTGCTGCTGCAGCCGCCGCTGTTCCTTATCCTTCTGCGTGTCGGCGAACTTCACCACCATGGGGGAGGAGCAGCCCTGTGTGGACAGATGGAGAGAGAGAGAGGAGGCAAGTGAAAGAGAGGTAAAAAAAGAGAACGCTAAGTATCCTGAAGAGCAATGATCTTGTGCGGCGCTACAGCATAAAGCGATAATGGTGCACAAACACACACACAAGCGCTGGGAGTTCTTGGTGAAATGAGAGTTCTGTGCCGTGCTGCTGATTTTATTTCCCAGGAAAGCGATTTCCTGCTTTATAAAACTATTTCATCATCTGTCTGAGCAAGCGAGCGCGATCTCCCACCCCACAGCCCTCACTGCACCCTACAGACCCTGCTGCATTTTTTTGCTAATCTCCAGCGTGTCCGGGCTCTTTCTCCCCAAAAAACAGAGGTAAACAAATATTAAATGTCATGGGTCTGACCTGTGCTGCCCATTTAACTGCAGCCCTCAGGGTCAGAATATAATGAGAGGAGGGTGCGTGAGCATATGAGCAAGTGTTATCATAGTTTACTCGAGCAAACTGTTTAGATGGACTCATGATCTAATTTCATGTTCTTTCAAAACATTAAAAAAAAAATTAACAAAAGGTGGATTCATTCATTCATTCATTCATTCATTCATTCAGGCTTTCCATAACCATAATAATCTCTCTGTTATTTGAGGTTATTAGTAATCGGTGTTATTCTGTAGTTTTCTGTGGTGATTTTCATAATGTTGCAATTTATTGTAATATATTATTTATTCATTTTTGAAGACTAAATTATTATCCCTGCTGATCATTTTGATTCTTTTTCAAATATTTCCCAAGCGCTGTTTAACAGAGCAAAGAGATTTTCTCACTATTCCAAATAATATATTTTTTTTTTCTGGGAAAAAGTCTAATTAGTTTTAGTTTGACTGGAATAAAAGTGACTTTACATTTGTATAAATCAATTTTTAAGGTCAATATAAATAGTCTCAATATCTTGCAAAATAACAAACAAAACAACAATAACAAGCTGTCATCATATTGAAGAAAAAAATACGTTAATTTATTAGAATTTAGTTATCAAAACTATTATGTTTAAAAATCTGTCACTGGGAAATTTTACAGGTGGGCTAATAACTTGATACTTTATATTATAAAAACGCTTTAATGTATAGCAAATGTAATCAATAAATCAATCAACAAATCTATCTATCCATCTATCCATCCATCCATCAATCCTTTAATCCATCTATCTGAGGTGTAACGTACAGATCACAACCCACAGTTCGGAACGCACGTGACCCGCGGATTAATAACTATTTTGAACTGGTAGGTCAATCTAACATTTAAAACAATTGCAGAGAAATCGCCTCCCTAATCATGTGTATGAAAGCATTTTGGGTTCCTTGTAAAATATATCAATGAAAGAGGAAGTTGTGGTGGGACCTACCGAAATGCTTACCTAGGTTATTAATTAAAGGTGTTTTCTGTCACTCTTTGTTTAGCCTGTATTAATGCATTTAGTGTAAAGCTGCACAATTAAACATTAAGAGTTCTTCAAAATGATGACACTGAATAGGTTTTCAAAAATGATCCACCTATAATGAAACATGAAGTTTTACTTGTGAATTGTTGAATCATTAATTGAAAATAAATATCATATGTTGTACAAGATTTCTATATTTAGCATTATAAGCAACAGTAGCAATTTATAAAAAAAAATAAAAAAGATTTTTTTGTATTGAATTTTTTAGCTGGTTATATGTTTATTTTTATTTTTATTAAAATTAAAGTTCTATCTATCTATCTATCTATCTATCTGTCTGTCTGTCTGTCTGTCTGTCTGTCCGTCCGTCCGTCCGTCCGTCCGTCCGTCCGTCCGTCCGTCTGTCCTTCTATCTGAGAGTCTGTCCATCCATCCGTCCGTCCATCAACTGTCTGTTTTTTTATTACCAGCATTTTATCTGTATTTCAATTTGTATAACCATAATGCACTGTGTTTATTTGTTTGTTCACTTTAATTTGATCAATAACACAACATATCATTGTAACATATTTATTTTTTCTTTTTAAAACCTCAACATGAAGTTGAGATGCATAACTCTGGCCATAAAATGACTAAATATGCACCACATACACCACTCGACGCATTCTTCCTCTTCTAAAGCCATTGATTGCTTAGTGTGCTGAACAGATCTCAAATCTACATCAATGCAAAAGCAGCATGAAGTTAAGCAGCAGATTTTCTCTTTCTCTCACACAAGTACTAAAATGCACGCATTGCAGAACGCAGACTTTGTGAATGGTGTTCAGTAAGAACATTCAGAAACGCCATTACACGTATTAAAATCAAAGCTGCTCCTCAGGCTACGGCAGTGAACGCAGGGCAGCCAAACGGAGCCACTAGAGGACGAGAGATTGAGACGAGTGTTTCAAGGCAATTATTCCACATCTCGCTCTCTTGTCTCTACCTTACAGGTGCTGATTCGCTCTGATAAATCGCTGCGCCGGCTTTTATTGTGCTCTCTCTGAACTGCAAAAGCACAGACCGAGCAGAGATGAAAGATCACGGACCCTCCTGAATGCGGAGGTGAGCGTTTCTGCGCTGTTTCTTCCATTCGGTGAGCTGATTTTCTTATTTCTGCTCTCAGACAGAGAGGAGGTAAAAATAAAACTTTGAGAAATGAGATTTAACTCAAGCTGTCAATCGAGCGCTGCCATCTCTGAGCCAATGTCTCGAGAGACCTAAAAATCTCATTACTCACTCACTCTGTCTTGCTCTTCTACACAGGCACACACACAAGTGCACACACACATACTTGACATGATTCGACTAATATGAAAGAAGTTGATTCGAGCTAAAATGTCCATTGTTAAAATCTGTAACTGAAGATAATCTTGTTAAAAAATAATAAAATTTAAAAAATGTAACTTATGTAAATTAAATCAAATAAAATAATTAAATACAAATTTAAATAAGATATTAATAAGAAAATATTTAAATGAATAGGAAGCATAAATATTTAATGATTTTAAAATATGTTTTAATAAGTATAAAATAATGATATATATTTATAAAATAAAATACATTTTCTGGTGAAATATTTATTTAAAACATACATTGTTATTGGAAATTGGAATTGGAAATGCACAGATTTAATCTATGTTATATATAAATAGATTTAATTAATATATATATTTTTTTTTTTGCCATATTTTACAAATATTTCCTTTATAGCAATAATTTCATCCCAAATTGGGTAAAATATGGACAAACCCAAATGTTGGGTTAATTTGGTCCATATATTTAAGAACAACAAAACATCAATTGTTTATTTTTTGTTCATATTTCAGAAATATTTCCTTTATAGCAATAATTTCATCCCAAATTAGGTAAAATTTGGACAAATCCAAATGTTGAGTTAATTTGGTCCATATATTTAAGAACAATAAAACATGAATTGTTTATTTTTTGTTCATATTTCAGAAATATTTCCCTTAAAGCAATAATTAATCACAATTTCAAAAGTTGTATTTTTTGTTTTTGTATAGTTTCAAATATAGTTTCATTTATTTTTTACACATTCATTCATTCATTCAAATATGACCCGATCATGTTGCTATGAACTCTGTCCCATAAAAAAAACAGAGGTGCATACAAACATGCATTTGTTGAGACACACACACAAACACAGTAACGCAGTCACAGAGATAAAGAGAGACAAACACATCAAACGAGATGAACGTCCAGGGAGACTAGTGCAAACCACAGCACTGAAAACAACCCTCTGAGACGCAGCAAGACCACCCTCTGTCATATCCGTTTTCATTAAGTCGTGACATTCAGAAAGGCCACAAACTCCTCGACGAGACAGCCGAAAACAAACAACAACCCGACACAATTTACTCGCTCTCATCTAAACCGCGTAATTACTTGCCTTTGCAGAAAAAAGACGCAGCTTACAGAGGTGGAAAAATGGCTATTTGGACCCATACTGTGCAGAAAGATACAAAAAAGGCTCCCTGAAGCGAAACGCAGATCACAGAGCCCATCCTTTGAAAGTTGTGTTGTGCCTCCGAACCACCAGGAGGCCCCAGTGCTCTCAGCGATGATATAATAATGAAGGCTGTGCAAGCTATTTTTTTTTAATTTTAATTTTTTTTTTTTTTTTGGTGCTTAGTGGTTATTAAAACATTATAAAATGATTGAGTTTCTTTTCTTCAAAGCATTGTTATGTAGTTTTTCCTATGTAACATCACTTTAAAAAGTGATTAGTTGACTACTTAAAAAAGTGAGTAAAACTGTTGCGTTTAAAGTGCTCAGTTGACTTTACTTAAAAAGTGAGAAAACACGTTGCTTTAAAAATGATTAGTTGACTTTACCTAAAAAAGTGAGTCAACATGTTGCAGTTAAATCGATTAGTTGACTTAAAAGTCAGTAAGCATTGCTTTTATAGCAACCAGTTGCCTTTATTTAAAAAAGTGAGTAAATTGAATTAAAGTGATTAGTTGACTACTTAAAACGCAAGTTAACATGTTGCTTTTAAAGCGATTAGTTGACTTTACCTAAAGAGTAAACGTTGCTTTTAAAAACAATTTGTTGACTACGTATAAAGTGAGTAATAGTTGCTTTTAAAGTGATTAGTTGGTTGCTTAAAAAGGGAGTTAGCATGTTGCCTTTACAGAGATTGTTTTACTACTTTAAACATGAGTAAAACTGTTGCTTTTAAAGCGATTCGTTTACTTAAAATGTCAGTAAATGCTGCTTTTAATGCAATTAGTTGGCATTGCTTTAAAACACGAGTAAAAAAATGTGAGTAAAAAATGTGAGTAAACGAACGATTACTTAACATGTTGCTTTCACAGCGATTAGTTGACTATTTAAAAAGTGAGTAAACGTTGCTTTTAGTGTGATTAGTTGACTTTACCTAAAAGTGAGTAAACACACATTGATTTTAAAGTGATTAGTTGACTTTAAATAAAAAGACAAGTAACCACACACTGTAAAAAAAAAAAAAAAAATCTGTTATTTTACATAATATACATAAATGCAAAATAACGGCCATAAATTTACAAGAAATTTAAATTTATGGAAATTTCCTTAATTTAACGTATATTATTTTGGGGTAAGTTTCTGTAATTTAGCGGTTGTTATTTTACGTTTTTTCTGCCACGTCAGCTGCTGGAAATAATATTAAATAAATAAAAAACGCAAAATAACAGATTTTTTTTCGACGGTGCATAATTAGTATATTTCTGAACACATTTCCAAGTAACAAATTGTTTACTAACTTTAAGGTAAGTCAACTTGTTGCTTTTAAGGCAACAGGTTGACTCAATTTAAGTAAAGTAACTAATTGCTTTTTGCATCACGCCAATTGTCACTTCCCTGTTTAAAAGGTAACAGCACCAAATATTCGTCTGACAGATTTTTGGTTGTGTAGATCTGAATCAATTTTAAACTTTTTTAAAAACAAAATGGAAAAATATTTTTAGTTTGAGTTTTTGCCCACAGCGTTGCTGTGTATACTAGAGCTCCCTCATGAAGTTTTGCATAGGGCCTGTAGACATCAAGTGAACTCCTCACCTCACACATTCCTCACTGTCTAATTGCATAGGCAGAAACCACTTAAAAATTCTCAGTATATCAGGATTTACTGGATTTGTTAGGTATCGGTTTGAGTATATTGCTAACTTTAGTTTTGTTCTACAAGTGTATGACAACATTTATTCCAGATTTCCAATATATACCAGTTTTTTGATGATGTTTTTTTTTTTCAGAAAATGATAAGAATAACAACTATTTACATAATTGACAGCTGTTTTTGACAGTAAAACTGCTCTGATAGAAAAGATTAAGTAGTTTAGGGGTCGTTTGGGATTTTTGTTAACACGCTGAAAGGAGCCCCCCTCATAGCATTTTGCTTCAGGACCCTAGACATCTACAATCAGCTCTTGTGGATAATTTCTGCGAAAGATATTTGTAAATTTAGCCAAGAATTGATAATTACAGTCCTCTAGGGACTTGAGAAAATGGCTTAAATCCATTAGTGTCAGTGGTTTCTGATTGATTAATAGGGGGTCTTTCAATTTGGATGTTGATGTTAAAAAACGTCGGATTTGAAAGGGTTAACGTCGCGAAGACTTGCGTGCGCACACAGACACATAGTTAGTACCCTGTATTAGACAGCTGTCAGCACCCTCTGATTTGGTTTGTCAGAGCTTTGACATTTTGACAGGCACCAAGACGGACTGCTAAACTCTGAGAGCAGCACGCAGGCGTTCTACAGGGCAATCACAATGCGAGGGCCCGTCGGAGGCCTGTTATTAAAGCGTCTGCGACACCGTCACCGCGAGACCCGCCGGCTAATGGCAGACTGGTTGCACGGTGTGTGCGGGGGGTCCTTCTTAGTTTGACCCGTTTGGCCAGGGGTGGTTTTGGCAGTGCCTGACAGTAATAACAGGGAGCGAAGAGCCACTTAATATGGCGTTGAAAGTGGAAAAGTGACTGTTTCCAAGAAAGAAAGTTTTATCTTGGAACTTTTTGAATCTGTACAATGTAGTGATACTGGTGGCCAATTCAAACTGAAAAAGAGAGAGAGGGAGTAAGAGAGGCTCTGTTCTAAAATATAGAGAGCTTTCTTAAAGTTTAATAACATAGGCGATATCCTTCTATACTACCTATTGTTTTTAAAGTTCTTTCACCAAATATAGTTTTCTTAACTATCTTGAAGATTTTTATAGTAAAAATTAAAATAAATGTATCTTGTAAACATAGCACCTTTTTTGTTTAATTATTTAATTATTATAATTTTTTTTAATATGGTGCGTCAGAATTCACAAACTGGATGGGTAGGTGCTATATATGAACTTTAACGTCCCAACCATAAGAAAAACATGGTTTATAAAGTTGTGAGTGTAGTAATGAATATCAATGGTATGAATAGAATTTGGATGTAGTACGTTGTTTAAGCTGTCATTATCACATGACCTAATCTTGACCTGATCTTGTCGCCTATCCAAGTTTTAGGATCAACAAATAATAACTTGACTTCTAGTTGATCATTTGGTATCAGAAGTGGCTTATAAGGCCTCAACATTACACTTATTTTACCAAAATAAAATATGATCATGCCTTGATTTTTAATTATTTAATTAGGACTGACTTTGCTTAGACTAAAGTCTTGTCATTTAACAGAAATAATGTACAGTATAGAATATAAAGCCGTGGTGCAGTGGAAAAAGAATTAATATTGTGTATGACTCCCATGAGCTTGGAGAACTGCATCCATACATCTCTGGATTCTTTGAATTCATCTTTAATGCCTCCTCCATCTTACCCCAGACATGCTCAATAATGTTTATATCTGGTGACTGGGATGGCCAATCCAGGAGCACCTTGACCTTCTTTGGTTTCAGGAACTTTGATGTGGAGGCGTATGAGGAGGGCTTTCCTGCTGAAGAATATGCCCTTCCTGTGGTTTGTAATGTAATGGGCAGCACGAATGTCTTGATACCTCGCACATCTCCTGCACGCCCTCATTCTGAATGTAACCCCAAACCATGATTCTTCCTTCACCAAATTTGACTGATTTCTGTAATAATCTTAGGTCTATGCGGGTTCCAATAAGTCTTCTGTAGTATTTGTGATGATTGAGATGCAGTTCAACAGATGATTCATCAGAAAAATCTAGCTTCAGCCACTTTTCCACGTGATCAACTAGAAATCAAGTTATTATTTGTTGCTCTTATGACTGGGATCCACGACAAGACTTCAGGCAGTTTGTTATACACTAGAAAAATACTGTATGTGATGTCAGCAATAGTTGAAGGTTGGGCATGTTGTTAAGCTACCAGTGATATTTCTAATCCAGAAAAATGCTACAATGGTAAACGTGGACAGATTAGCATTCTGCTAAGCTAACAAAAATACTTTTGTATATTTTTGTATATTGTATAATTTTATAAGGTTTGATAATTGACATTTCTTCACATCATTAGCCATTCATGATTTTATTTCACACAACTATTAATTTAGATAACTTTTAGTAATATTTAATGGATTTAGTTTGAAGATAGCTGCTATGCTAACGCTTAAATTAACAAGTGCAAATAAACACAGATGCTTTTATTTAGATTAAAATGACTCTTAATAAGTCTTGCTACTAAAGATGAAAATTATAGTAAAAAAATAAGTATGTTTTTGGCGTATTGATATACAATATACTATTGGTATAACCACAGTTTTACTACAACTACCATGGCTAATATAGATAGCTAGTGTATTTTACGATTTGGTCAGCAAAAGGATGTCCAAAAGCACCAATGTATGAGCCCCCCTAAAACACCACCTAAGTAGACAACCCATTCAATTTTGAAACAGAGCAGAGATGGAGATAGAGAGAGAGAGAGAGAGAGAGAGAGAGAGAGAGAGAGAGAGAGAGAGAGAGAAGACAAGGGTACAGTACCTCCATGGTTTGAGACTGATGCATGGCTTTGATTGCATTCTGTGCCATAGCCCTGGTAGAAAACGTGACAAACGCACATCCTGCAGGAGGGAAGGGAAGGGACGTGGGAGGGAGGAGAGGAGAGGAAGGAGGAGAGACGAGAGAGAAACAAAACAAGACAAAAGGGTTGGACAGGTTGTTATAAAGCCCAAAAAAAACAAAGATCGTACAAAGAACACAGCAGACAACAGTGCTATAACAGTTGCTAGAATAGAAACAATCAACATTCAACATTCAGCTTCAGATAAACATTCAACATTCAACATCTCTAAGTGCACACTCGACAAAAAATGACTGTCAGCAATGGTTATCGGGTCTCTTTTAGTTTCCTTTGGTGTGATGGTTTGGAGAATGTGGGGTTAGAGAGTGTGGCTAGTTTTATGACAAACATGTACACAAGTCAAGGGTTTTTCTGCCATAGTAACATTTCAGTACCATCTCATGACTCTTGAGTCCTGAAATGAGCATCCTATTACACCACTGGTACTCACCTATTCATAAATAGTCATTAACGTGACAGTAAATAAAAAATAATTCCATCATTTACTCATTGTCAAGCCATTCTATACTGTAAACTGGGGGTAAATTAAAATTTCTGGAAATGTAGAATGTATTTTTAAAAAGCAATGCAGATTTTATATCTTATTAGGAGGTTACAACAATTTGATGTAAGTCAGGATATTCTGGAGATGGTGTACAAGAACTTGGTTGAAAGTGTTGTGAGTTTGAACATGATTGCGTGGTATGAACTGTTGCCGATTAAAGAAAAGCAAAAACTGCATTGAGTAGTAAAAGTTCCCAATGCAATTGTAAGTAAACCACAAAGACCACGAAATGAAAATTATTAAGTGAGAATTAAACAGAAAGCACATGTCATTATTAAAGATTAAAGATTGTTAAAATTCCAGTTCTTGCCATCAAAAAGACGTTTTAGGCAACCTCAAGTAAATGTGTATCAAACCTCCTTTGTGCCCACTCCCATTATAATTTTAAATACTGGGTTTTAAGTATATGAACAGGGTTTTAATTGAGTCTTTAATGTGATTTATGAGATGATATTGAATGTATTTGTGTTGACTGTTTTTCTCTGATATGTGTAGTGTGGACGCTGATGTGGTTGTGGTGAATCCAAAGATAAACTTCCACTTGTGGACAATAAAGAAAGTAAATGCCTATATTATTTCAGATGAGTGCAATCTGGGTATATTAAATAATATAAATCTCTACCAAATTTGTAAAATGGCAGTGAATGAGTTTTCAAAGCACCCCAACGTCCATTCATTCATCATAAAAGTGAATAATTGGGCTAATGACTGAATTCTAAAGCAATGACATATTTTGTGTTTTACTATTGATGCACCAAATATATATATATAATCCGATAGTGATTCCTTTACTTAAATTGGCTGATTCAATACAGATTTCCAATTTTTTATATTTTTTCCTTCTTTTTTTTTTTTACTAGAAACCAGAAATAAATGGCAAAATGTTTATGTGCTGTATAATAGGCTGAATCTGCAGTGAATCTGAATCATTATTAGAGCCAACAACTGCACTTCAATCATGATCATGAGCACATTATACATTATATTAGATAGTTAGTAATTAAACATTTATTGTATAATTTGAAATTATGATGTGAAAAAACCCCAATATGACTTAATGCTACATAAAACATACTGCTTGAAACTTAAAACATTACAAATGCAGATAATAAATCAAATATATTTTCTTCCAGCAGATGCCACCTATAAAACTGCAAGATTAACAGCTTTTCCTTGGTTACAGCTGTAAGCAATACTGCGTTCAATATGCACTATAAAGAGGCTGTTTGCTCAATTTAAAGAACGCAGAGAATGGACTTGCATTCTCGTGCAAAGCAGTCTTGCCAGTTAATCTCGGAAGAAAGAACTCAGTAGACTGCGAGAACAGAAAACGCATGCTGTGAGAAATGAAATGCTTCTTCCTCATGGTCACATGACCTTCACGTATTTTGACTTAAAAATTGTTTTAACACTACAGCATTCATACAATAATGTATTGTTTTCGCCCTTTTCAAAATAAAAAGCACAATGCACAAACGCCTTACAAATATACTTTGCACAATACAAATAAAACAGATTTTATACAAATTGCTTTTATTGAGATTTTCATGGTAATGTTTACTTTCAGCGTCTCATTTAGGAAAACTCCTACACTCTTAGAAATAAAGGTATGCGAGGGTCCATATATTGGTACCTCAAAAGTATATATAAGTATCTACAAATTTTAAGAGGAACACAATTGTACATTTAATGTACTAATATGTACCTTTGAGGTATTAATATGGACCTTTTAGGTACAAATTTGTACCTTTTAAGAAAGGTACCACCCCAGTGACAGCTCGCATACCTTTATTTCTGAGAGTTTAAGACAAGCTATACCTTTGAACTTTAATAATAAATCTGTATGAAATGCTGCGCTTTGCACCTCTATTATTCAGCCAGAATCACTACTGGGACGTCAAGCTTCGAGTTTTGCGGTCAAGTCTGCATCCACACATCCTGAATATCAAGAACACATTCAGGTACTTTCATGCATCCTACGTACTTGTGGTCTTGAGTTTTGGATATGAACTATTTGCCGGTTGATGATCACTTCTATACAGCTTAAAGTGAGATTAAAGGCTTAACTAGGATAATTAGGTTAACTAGGCAGGTTTGGGTAGGCAAGTTATTGTATAACGTAGTTTGTTCTGTAGACTATCAAAAAGATAAAGCTTAAAGGGGTTAACAATTTTTATCTTAAAACGTTTATTAAAAAAATAAAAACAAATAATAATAATGCAAGATATATTATGCATATTTCCAATTTTTATTCTAGCCGAAATAAAACAAATAAGACTTTCTCCAGAAGAAAAAAATATTATCAGACATACTGTGAAAATTTCCTTGCTCTTTTAAACATCATTTAGGAAATATCTAAAAAATAAAAATAAAAAAAGGGGGGAGGGGGCTAATAACTTTGACTGTGTATTTATAACAAAGATTGCTTTAATCTGAAACAATAAACAATTTCTTTGACTAATACTATTAACATGTCTTCTGAACTGACTTTAATAACTAAATGAAAGTCAACTGCTAAATATATTCATTGAAATGTATTTCTTTTACCATCCCCACCAACACCATTAACATTCATATGCACAACCCCCCCCAAAGTTCCTTGTCTATAAACAACTGTAATCAAGATGAAGCGTCCCTATAGGCGCATGTGTGTGTGTGTGTGTGTGTGTGTGTGTGTGTTTGGGGAGAGTTTGCAGTGGCATCTGGGACAGCGAGTGTTGGAACTGAAGCGGCGCAAGTGGGAGCCAGCAGAACAGGCCATATGGAGACATGCTGGGGGAAAACACAGCCCGTTTGAAGAGATCTACTCTACTGTGCCGTCCAACACATTTATACATATGGAGGACACAGACACACACAAGCTCACATGCATGGACAGGCTAGTTAATGGGTTAACTACATGTGCCTATACACTGAGCTGAGATAGGAGGGAAAGAGTGAACGCTTTTTCTGAAATGCTTTCTTCCAGTGCTCTCTTTAACGTTTGGAAACTCTTTTAAGGATATGATGTGAGTCCAAGAGCTGCTGGCTAGAATAATAGGGACATGCTGAGAAATTTTATGCGCTCTTTTTTTTTGTTCTATTGCAACATTCTTGCGATGCCATTTGGTACGATGGGAAATGTAGTTCTCTGACACAATCCTGATTGTTGGTGAAAAATGAGAATTAACTTAGGTGAATGGTTAAAGGTTAATGGTTATTCTTACATGCATAGTAAAGTATAGTTCAATCAGTGTTCACTATTACACCTTGTTAAAATTTCCACTGCATTACCAACATTATTCATTAAACTGTTAAAGATTTCTACTGGGAATAAGGACATAATGGTGACTCATGTCATAAATGATCAATGATGATTATTAATAACAATATCTCACATGAAAAAAAAAATCACTGATAATAATAATAATAACAATAACAATAATAATAATAATCATAATAATAATATAAGTTGTTATAGTTGTATTTTTTCTGTATGTAAACTTTAATCCCAAGAGATTTTTATTAATTATTAATACATTTATACCATAATATAGTTGTTTTTAGTGAGTAACACCACATTTAACAGAACTGATCAAACTTGCCTTATAACAGTCAAATTATTACATATTGAAAGGGTTATATAAAGTGTTAATTTGTCAACGTTTTGTAAAAAATACTAGTTTTAAGCCATTTTTATTATTTCAATGTCTTTACAATGTGCAATAGTGCACATATGAATATTTTAGTAAATAATGATAATAATGCAAGATATATTATGCATATTTCCAATCACCACAATCCATTTTCCAAATATTCCGTATTTTACCATGATAAAGGCAGCATTACCTGATACTCTTCATCTTTACCCTGATGAAGTCAGCTCTTTGCCGAAATGTGTAGGTTTTTTAGGGACCAGCCATGTGAATAAAGACTTTTAAATATTTTTTCCACATTTTTTGAGTGTCTTGGGCTGATTTTTGCTGTTTATTCTGAGGAATCCCTTACCCAAAGAGCATTATTATTTAAGCTATATTATTTAACATTGTTTAAGCACATTATTTAAGCTACACCTGAGCACTTATTTTTGATTTTTGGATTTTAATACCATATTTTCTGTTTCAGTCATACAATATATGAGATTTTACTTCACCTAACCTTGCCTTATTTATTGTAAAGTTACATATTACAAAGTTAAATATTTTTTGATACTTATTAATGTAGTCAGTTATGTTGGATTGCAAGATATCTATTTTTTTGCACTACATATATTTTAAGTAAATACATATATACCTCCTGCTCTCAACCAAATACCCAAACTAATTGAGAAAAGATGCTCTTCAACAAAAGCTCTTCCTTTGATCTGTATTAACTGTATGCACTAAAGTACATTTCTGACCTCATTAAACGACAGAACCAAAAAAAGTTACACCATGTTATTGACCCATGATTATAAT